GGCGGGGGCGGGAGCGAGCCATTGGCTCCCTTCCCTCTGTCTGTTGGTGTGTGGATCGATCCATCCATCCATGCATCCATGCATCCATCCATCCATCAGGTATGGGATTCATCACGGGTCTGCTTCTGATGTACATGGACGAGGAGGATGCATTTGCCATGCTGGCGGCCCTGCTCGACAAATACCAAATGGCCGGTGGGGGGCTGGGTGGGTGGGCTTGGCAGGTGACTGACTGACCATCGTTGCCTGCCGCAGGCTTGTTTCGCCCTGGGCTGCCTCTGCTGGACAAGTACTTTTACCAGGTCACACATACACTGACAAGAGATGATCATCAATTCACCACCGTGTGTCTCGTTCCCATCTGTCTGTGTGGGTGTCATTCAGTTCCAGCGCCTGTTGCAGGCCCACATGCCGCGCCTTCACGACCACCTGGTGGGCATAGCAGACATACAGACAGACGCCATCAACCATACATGTCCCTGCTGTTGTCTGTATGTTGTACGTGTGCACTGCAGCGCGCCGAGAATGTCGACGCGACCATGTATGCGTCCCAGTGGTTCATGACCGTCTTCACATACAACTTCCCTTTCGAGGTCACACACAGAGAGAGCACACAACAGACCGACATGATATGATGCACGCACCCACCATATATTGCACCCCCGTGGCCAGCTGCGTGTGTGCATCTGTGCGTGTGCAGGTGATGGTGCGTGTGTGGGACATCTTCCTGGCGGAGGGCATCAAGATCGTTTTTCGAGTCGCACTGGCCATCCTGACCCTCCAACAGGGTCAGCAGCCGAGCCGACACACACAGAGCCTCCGGGTGCATTGGTCGATCCGTCGGTGGTGGACGGCTGCCTACCTGCCTGTCTGTGTGGTGCAGATGAGCTGTTCAAGGAGTCCTTCGAGGCCATCCTGCACCGCCTCAAGTGCTCAGCCACCACACTCAAGGTCAGACACGCAGGCCATGCTCACGACGACGCATTCGACTGTTCTGTCTGTGTGTGTGTGTGTGTGTGTGCGCGTCAGGCCGAGGCTCTTGTCTGCACGGCTCTGTCGATAAAGATACCTATCGGGGTGCTCAAGGTGAGTCAGTCAGCACATATTAAGACATGCAGCATTCAGTCAGCCACCAACCCCACGACGGACGGCAATGGACGTGGCGCATGCAATCACTGCCTTCCTGCAGGAACTGGAGAGCGAATACAATGACAATCGCCGGCAGCCCACCTGACCTGAGCAGAGGGAGGGTTAGCAGAGGGGAGAGCATGCGTGGCGCTGTTTTGGAGCATCCTGGGTGGGTGGGTTGGTGGATGAGTGAGAGCTGCCGTGCCGTTGCCCATCCGTAGACAAGACAGACAGACAGACAGATGCTTTCACTATCCATACGTTCGTTACACTTGAATCTGCTTTTGTTGGTCTCGCTCTCTGGTGCGCAGCGCACTGTTGGGCGTTTGTGTGTGTTTTTTAGCGATAGGGCAGCGATGGCTGGACTTCACTGGTACATATGATGGACATACGACGTAAGGTCCAACCGCCTGGCCCCTCGACTGGCTGCAATCCGAGCAGAGGAATGACCTCCATCGCGATGCACCACCCGTCCGATGCGGATCTGCAAGCGGCCTTCTCGAGCCATCCCCCTCCCTCTTCTCCCCCCACCAACCCGTCCACCAGGTCTGTCTGCATCGCATCGATGGATGTCGCATGCACATGGCGATAAAGAACTCCCACAACCGACGACAAACTTACTGAGTAAATGACTAGAACACCGCGCTGCAGCAGGTCGATAAAACCTCACACACCCACTTCCTAGCACAGCACAGCCACACATCTAGCACAGCTACTCATCCCTTCACTCCTTCCGTCCCCCCGTCACCGTCACACACACAGCCTGTCCGGGCGTCTGCGTGACACGCGCACACCTCACGTCAAAGCCGCCACCCAACCGATCCACACACTCGAAGCAGAAGGCCAGTCGCCCGTCTTCCAGTCCGTCGACGGCCAGCATGACGTCCGCCCAGTCAGGTCGGATGAGACCCACCAGCCTCATGCACGACAGCACGGACGCGTGGTTGGGGGAGTGTCTCATGCCGGTCATGCGCACGGTGAGCTTGTCGACCCGCGGGAAGGCCATCTGCTGGTGGGGCAGTGTCTCGGGGAGATCGGTCACGTGGTGGCCCAGCGTGATGCTGCACTTGGCCAGCCGCTTCGCCGACACATAGGACAGAAGCTTGGCGGCCTATGTGGACACACAAGGAGAGGAAGGAAAACTTGGATGGATGGATGGCTGGCTGGAGATGGTCTTCCTTTCCCTCGCTGGCCTGCCTACCGTGAACATGCTGGAGGATTCGATCTCGAGGTCTGTCAGCGTCGCCAGGCTCCCGACAAGCTTGCTCAGGGCGTGTGGCTCCCCATCCGGCAGTTCCTTCGTTTCATCTGCCAGCGCCCCACCGTTAGATTTGTTGACGTGCGTCACGAGGGCCACCATGCAGCTGAGGCTCTCGAGGGCGGGGAAATGGCGATTGTTGCCGTCCGCCCCCTGCTCACTCAGCCACATGGGCACGCTCTCAACGGCTGTGGCTGCCGGCACATAAGTGACTACATTGCCAAACGGCTCCACCCTGAGCGATTTAGCCCGGGGGAACAGGAGCGCGCCGCTCCATGACTTGTCGAGGGGGTCGCCACCATGATACAGGTGGACCTGACCAACCGAGAGAGACACCAAGTGTTGACACGGAATCGTCACATGCGCTGTGCCGTGTGCGTGTGTGTCTCACTCACCTCTTTCTGTTTGCTCGCCAGGTCCCTGATGATGTCGGCGACGGGTCCGATGACGGCTTGGGGCTGATCGGCCGCCTCCACAGTGCAGTCGACATGCACCTCACCCTGCCACTCGATGGCGCAGCTGACCTTCTTCGCCCACTCAAGCAGATCTGGCAAGACAAAGCTGGTGGGGCTCGTCCTTGTCACCACCTGCTCTCCGAACTTAGCACTGACGTTGCAGTCGTACTTGATGCCCAGACGCTTCCGCACATCTGTTCAAAGGGATCAAGTAGAGAGGAGGGACCAAAAGGAAAAGACGCTGGGTCGATCTCTTCCTTGTGTGTTGTGTATATGTCCATCCACGAGTCTTCATACCCTTGTTCTCCGGTTTGCCCCACTGTTTGTCGAGTCCTTTCACCAGGTCCCCGAGGCCAGCCATCGAGTGCTCCGTGATCTCAAGGCCCGTGAGCGTCGCGAGCTTGGGAGGCAGGCCCAGCGACTGGGTGAAGACATGCCAGTGGATCCAATCGAAGAACTCGGTGAGGCGCTCAAAGTGGATTTCCTCCAGTTGAGGGGATGTCGACAGGATGTGCGGCAGGGTGATGGCCTCCTCCAGCTGGTGCGACGACTTGTTGACGTGCAGCACACGCAGCGAGGGGAAGCTGTACTCTTGAAGTCTGACAATCCCCCACACAGAAGGAGCAACAAGAACGGAAAGACGCCGTGAGACACAGCTCCTTTATGTCACACCAAGTGGTGCATCTCTCTCTCTCACGTACGCGAAGTTTCTGAGCCAGAGCATTCCAGCCGTCAGCGTCTCAACCTTGTCGAACACCACCGCCTCCACCACGGCATTGTCCTCCGTCGCCTCAGAAGCGTCCTCAGGCGCCGTCTCGCTGTCACGCGTCGTTTCAGAGTCGGTGCCGTCGTCCTCGAAATCATCATCATCATCACCACCATCATCATCATTGTCATCTTCGCCAGGTTCTCCGAAATCGATTGCCCGCTGGTCGATCAGGGAGTTCTTGACGTGTATGCTGGTCAGTGTGCCACGGGCAGCCACCAGGATGTCCGCCAGGACTGGGCTGACCTTTGTCGTCATCTCGCATCTGACGGGCGTCGTGTCGATGTAAGCCGTCACAATCGAAGCCTGTGTGCATTGATTACAAAGGGAAGGGTCCATCCCATCCACACATTCTCAAAGCACAGCTTGACGTCCCACCCTCCTCACTCAACTCACCAGCTTCTTCTTGGCCTGCTCACGCTCGTCTGCGTGGGAGGGCGAAGCGAGCACCTCCCACACGCCACCATCCTCGGTGTAGGCGGCCACCAGGTCACGGAAGACGCCGCAGTCTGTGCTGTTGATGGTGTGGTGGAAGTCTCGGGAGCATCGGCAGAGTCTGGCGGCCTGCGTGGTGGTGAGGTAGGACGTGATGTGGCTGATCAGGGGGACATCCAGCTGCGTGATGTGACACACCTGATGTCCCAAAACACACGCAGGCACCGGAGCTCGTTCAGCCTACACACAGACCTTCGTATCGCTGATACGTACCCGTTTGCATTCTTTGCGTAGCTGGTGCGTCCTGGAACCTCTCATTCGCCGCGATTCTGTCTTCCTCACCATTGATTGTGGCTCACGGCGACGGACGGATTGCCGGTACGATGAGCCGAGCAGAGAACGGACCTGACAGCGAGCACCCAAAGGGGGAGAGATCTTCTGCTGCGAGCTTGTGCGAGCTGAGAATGCAGATCTGACCCGTGAATGCCTTTCCTCGTCTACTCCTCGTAACACTGCCACTTTTGCTCGTTGACGCCACAGCAAGAGCAGCAGGAGGAAGGATCTGACGGCAGCTGGTGGTCAACACTTCAGGTGGCATTATCTCATCGCCATGTGGCTCCTCCACACTCTGCTGCTGCTCATCACCTGTTTCGCAGCCTCGGCTTTCAGCTTCCGCATCGTGCTCTCCAGATCCTCTCCGCGCCGATGGCGGTCATCCCCTCTTCTCTCAATGTCTGCGGCCGTCCGCATGCTGCCGGCGAGGCGTCCGGCGTTGGTGCGCAAGGACCGCAAATACTACAACGCCATCACCAACCGAATGACCCGCATGCGCGACGTTGACGAGCTGTTGCAACTCATCGACCAGCACTTTGGCGACTTCAACAGCGTGCATGTGGTTGCGGCTCTTCACAAGCTGGCCAGGGCCGTCAGTGATGGGAGGGACGGGCATGTGTCGGCGGTGGACCGGCTCAAGAGCGATGAGGTGTTTGTGCGGCTTGTGGAGAGGCTGCGGTGGCTGCTGCAGAGGTCGTCCAAGTTCCTACCGAGGCATCTGTCGAACGCCGCGTGGGCGCTGGCGAGGCTGGGCGTCAGAGATGATGAGGTGGGCATCCACTCATTCATGCCATGGCTTGATCTCCCTCTGTCGAAGGTGTGCCATGTGTGTTATGTGGTCAGCTGTATGAGCTGTTGAGCCGTCAGGCCATCGGTCGTCTGCGCAAGTTCCAGCCTCAGGAGATGAGCAACATGCTGTGGGCATACGCCACCAGTAAGTGAGCGCACATTGGGCAGTGAGTCACGCGACTGACGGACAAGCCTACTAACTGTCCATTTGTGTATCTCTTGTCTGTCTGTCTGCTTTTCTCAGTCGGTCAACGCGACCCAGCGTTGGTGTACCAGATGTACCCATTCCTCGCGCGAGAACTCTCACGAGCGGCATTCGCCCCACAGGTACGCACACAGACGCAACGACACGCACTGCCTCATCAGCTCTGTTCTTGTTTGTTCAGGAGCTGGCCAACACGTTATGGGCACTGACGACTCTCGGCATGGCCGACACGGCCTTCCTTCTCGACGCAGCCGATGCCATCACCAAGTCATTCGACCAGTACCGACCCATGGACATCGCCACCATCCTTTGGTCCTTCGCGGCCGTCGGCGGCCTTCCGCCAACCATCTTCCCGGCCATCGCGCGTGCAGCTGTGGTGCGGGCTGAGGCGGTGGTCAAGCAGACAGGGGCTGGAGGAGGCCAGTTCTCTGGGCAGGACTGCTCTCTCATGGTGTGGGCCTGCGCACAAGCGGGGATCCAGGAGCACGATAGAGACGTCCTGGACGGCATTGTCAAAGTGGCCAGGGGCCGACTGGGGACGTTTTCCGACCAGGCGTTGGCCAACTTCGTGTGGGGTCTTGCCGTCCTGGATCATCACGACCTTCCTCTCTTCAGCGAGGCCTTCAGAGAAGTGGAGAGGCGCGTCAGGGACGGCTTGATGGCGTCACCCAAGCACCGGCAGCAGATCTTTTGGGCCCACCTGTCGCTGATGCTCGACGAGCGGATCGACGAGGGTCAGAGGGGTGCGGTGGCGATGGACGAGAGGCTGCTTGAGAGGTTTCGGGAGAGCTTCATGGGTGTGAGCGGGGTCAAGGGTGAGGGAGGCGAGAAGCTCTTCTCGTCCAGCCTGCATCAGGCCGTCTCTCTAGCCCTCAGCCGATTCCTCAAGGTGAGAGACAGGTGATGAATCCGATACACACACGACACCTGTAGGCGATGGATGCATTTGTGTTTGCTTGTCATTGCTATGTGTCTCGTGTCAGGTTGAGCACCAGAATGAGTACTGGATTCGCAATGCCATAGTCGTCGATATCGCAATGCCGGAACGAAAGGTCACACACACACACACACACATACAAGGAGCCGATGACCCATGTGCTCAAATGCGTGCGTGTTGTGCAGGTTGCTTTGGAGGTTGACGGTCCCTTTCATTATCAGTCGCTGGGCCTGGGGCAGTCGCTGCAGGACCCCGACACGCCCCCACAGATCACACCCAAGACGCTCTTCAAGAGAAGGATACTCAAACAGTTGGGATGGAAGGTCAGACATGACACAGCGGACAACGCACCTGCCAACGCCAAACACCGATCAAAATTTTGTGAATGCGTCCATGTCTGTCTGTCGTCTCTCAGGTGACGTCGATTCCCTACTTCGAGTGGCATGCCCTCCGCAGCCGCAAAGACAAGGAGGAGTACGTCAAGCAACGGTTCCTGGACATCGGAGTGGACATCACCGCGCCCCCGGACATCCGGCAGGAGGACGACAGCCAAGCGTCAGCGCCACTCAGCACCCCCCGGAGGCCTAAGAGCAGACCAGAGGTGTTGGCGGCGATGAACACGGCCCCTGCTGCCCAGCAGGCACCCTCCCTCTCCCCCCATCCCTCCCCAGTTGACCATGCGGCACCGCCCCACGACATACAATCGTCCGCCGCCTCGTCCCGCCCGCCGCCTGCTATGGAACCACAGATTCTGTCGGTCACTTCCATCTGGGAGCCAGACGGGAGGGGTGAAGGCGGCAAGAGTCAAGAGGATCGACCAAGGGATGACGCAGCCAAGGGCGTCACGAGTGAGGCGACGGATGGAGTGGATGTGCCAATGGCGAGGCGGCGGTGGAGTGACATGGTGGCCGAGGGGTTTGAGTGGGACGATGGGGACGATTCCCTTACAGGCCCTGAGGGCGATGTCGATGACGATGTGTCGTCTACTTTTGATGGGATCGACAGTGATGATATGGATGTGTATGACATGTTTGAGGGTTTGGAGGACGACTTAGATAGGCGATTGGGCATATCAAGCACTGGCAGACAGAACACCTGACTGACTCATGCATGCGATGCTTGGTTCCTTGACTGACACTCGGCGACAGATGCGCTTGTGCAGTCCAATACAGTGTCAACACCCCGCCAGATATGAAATGTAGGCACCGATGGATAGCAAGCCTCTTCCGCGCTTCTGTGTCAATTTTGTGGGTGGGGGGCGGCCGCCTCGACAGGGGGATGAACGGTATCATCATTCAAAGACACTGACTGACATTGACAAGACAGGCGAGTTCGTTCACCATACATATGGGGGCTGACAAGGCCCATGTGTCCCATACATATGGGCTGACAAGGCCCATGTGTCAGTCAGTCTATCGAACAAGGAAGGCATGGCTCAAGTCAATTGAGTGTAATTGGTCATCTGCACAGGCATGGCATGCACAGTGATGTATGTCTCAATGGACGCATACATACATGTGAAAAAGAGGCAAGCATGGCAGGCGGCAGACAGCAACAACGGCACTCCACACCCCAGCATACCTAGCATGCATTGAGATGAGGAGAACCGAAAGCCTATCTCTCAGCAAGGGACCTACAGCTATATAATGGTATGATAATTATGATACACAGACACGCGCCGGCCGAATCAGCAACCGGAGATACGCATCAGTCAGTAGTCAGTCATATATCTCACACATGGATGGATGGAACGGAGACAGGAGATGGATGGCCAGACAGACCGCCGTGTGTGGTGCCAGCGGGTGCGGTGGGTGAAGTGGGGGTCTGTCGGCTCGACCTCGCCCCCAATGTATGTATGTATGTATGCAGTGGGTGTGAAATCGCCCGTCTGTCTGCCCGCCGTACTCAAACACACACACACATGAACGAAGACCCTCTCTCTCCCCCATCATATATGCCATCCCTCTCTCTTGTGTACACGTGAGAAGCCAATTGTAATAACCTAGTCCCGACCGTCCTTCTCAGGCTGCAGCTCCTTGTCCTCCCTTGGCTCTTCGTACTCGGTGTGGACCCACCCGGTTTCTCGGAACTCTCTCTGCACACTGAGAAAGGGACGCAGAGGGTTGTGAGGTCTGTGCCATGTCTCTCCTGTGAGTGTGTGTCTTGAGGTCTTACGTGAGCTCCCCCTCGTCAAACTTGACGGGCTGGGCGCAGCCGAAGAAGATGCAGCAGAAACACGACCAGTTCCAGCAGGTGCCAGCAGCAGTGGGCTTCACCATGATGGATGGACCTGATCGATCAGCCAACCAATGATTGGGACGGAGGAGACACAGGAGACAGCGTGTGGGCACACAGAGAGGAGGAGGGCATGAGGATGCGCTTACCGTTGACAAACAGAGGATGAAAGGACGCCGAAGCAATCAGGTGTCTCAAGAGAGAAACAAAGGGAAACCTGGAATGCCAGAGCAACAGACACGACCTCCGTGTGAGAGCAACAAATGGCTGCTTGACGCCGTGTGGTCTACTTGAAGCAGCAAAGGTAGGTTGCCACTTGAGTCAGCAAGGGTATTCCTCAATGTGTCCCGAAATGAAGCAGCAAAGGCAGCAAAGGGAGATGTCTACGTCAATTGGCAAAGATCTCGCTGGATGGACAGCACCACACACGACCCACGGAATGGAAGGAAGAGACAGAGATGTGCCGTCTCTCTCCGATTCTGCCCACCTGAAGCAAGGGGGTTGCCCGTACAAGCGGAAGAGAAGCTTCGTGAGAGAAGCAAGCCTCTCTTGAACCCAACGACTAGAGAAAGAGGAAAGTCCCGATCTGTGCACATGATTAGAGGACAAAAGAAGCATGAGCCCGCGCGCCATCTCTGTGTCCGTCCCGACGTCGCCTACTTGAGCCTCTTGAACACAGACCTCAATGAGGTGCCTGCGAAGCCCGAAGAGAGCCGACGCGTGTGACTTGATAGAGTAAGACAAACTCTGTTGACGTTGACCTGCGTCGTACAGCAGCAAAGCAGACAGGTAAGACAGAATATCAGGACAGGTTCGCTCCTCTGCTCTGCTCCCCCACGAGCATTGCGCCCCTCCCCGCCTCCCACGCCTATGTCCCACGCCATGCCACTGATCTACAACAGGCTACCCCTGTCCAACAGAGCTGAAAAGACTGAACCCCCCACTGTCGCTTCGATGGCAAGAGGCCCCCCCCGCCCTCTTGCTGCCCTCAGACTGCAGCATCAATGGTAGCATGTGGGTGAGCAGGAAGCGCTGCGCTAGCCCCATCCCTTCCTGTCTGGGCTGGGCGGCAATTGGCAGGGGGAGGGAGGGAAGGGCAACTAGGGAGGGGAGGGGCCAGTGGGGCGGGCAGGGGAGGGCAGGGAGAGAGGGACGTGCTTACCGAATGGAGAAGCTTGTTGAAAGAGAGTTCAGGAGCTGGTGACCTCACAGAACCGCTAGAGGTTACTTCGAGAAAGGGAGACTTCGAGACGCCGCGCTGCCCTGCAAGCTGATGGCTTGGCCCCCCCGTCTGCATGCAACCTCGAATGCTGTCCAAGCATCCATTTATCGCTGCATGCTGACCTGCATCTTGCCTTCGTCCCATACCATACTCCCATGTGAGTCTTCGGCGACGTCTCATCCCGCTTCGCCTGTCTGCTGAGAGTCGCGGCGGCACACCCGTTGATATAGGCATGTCTCAGCTCCCTTACCGAGGTATGGCGGCGGCACAGCAACTGGCTGCTGATCAATGTGTCATTCCTTGCCTGGGGCGGTCTTCTGCCGCCAATCGCTCGTCGTCAAGAAGGTGCATGCAAGTCGTCGCCTCACCCCTGACAGCACCATCCAGCAGCTCAGCAGGAGGCCTCCATGCTCTCCATCCACAGGCGCCAACAGTTGCCGAATGCATCCCGAGGAAACCCCACAGACGTCTGCACAAAATGAAGCAGAAGCAATTGAGCAGAAGAGGTGCACGCAGGCCCAGTGTCAGCGTTCGTGCCGACGTCTGGCTTTCTTGTCGTCTGTCTTGTGTCTTTCGGCCCTCGGCAGCCCGTCAGTCCCTCTCGTCCGAGGGATGGTGTCGCCTGTAACGGGCTTCGAACTTCACGGGACGGGTGGCGATCGATCGTTGAGCGGGCCTCAAGGCAGCAGCTTCACCACAGCTGCAGTGCCGGAGCGAGCGCAGCTCCTTGAGTACATGGGAACGGAAAGCGCTACCGGGGGCCGATTTGCGTCACAATTGTCGAGAGAGACATTCAATTGCATAGTTAGTTACGTTACCGTCTCATACCGACTTCTGTGTCCATCCAATGTACCGTGACACCTCCCCCCTCAATCTTCAGGCACAGAAAAATGGCCCGCCTTAGATGCCAGCCATCAATACTCTCCCCCTTGCAAACACACACCGTCATGACGCAGCGGCAGACGACGGAAAAAAGGGTGGGCCGGAACATCTCATTCATTCATCCACCCATTCAGGCCAGGCCACCCGGCATTGTCGGCGGCCCAGACATTCCTTTGCACTCGTCGACGCACGTACACGCGCGTGGGCTGACTGGCAGCCAGGCCTGTCACGGTATGTGTGCATAAGCCCTCTCTGTTCCCCCCACCCCCGGCCCGGCCCCTTTCGCTTGTGTGCGTATAATATGTATGTCGCCCCAGTTTGGCCAAAATCTATCTAAGGCAGGCGGGAGGCAAGGCATGGCATGAAGGAGAGAGAGCCATGCAGCAAGACTGACTGCACAACTGCATGTGTACACGGACGTGCAGTGTGCATAGCCAACGAACGTGAAGGGACGTGAAGCACCCATTCCCTCCCCCACCCACCCCCCCCTCCCCCCGTGGGTGTATGTGTGTGTATGCGGCCCATTGGCACATGAGAGCCTAGCAGACGGTCATGGATTTGTCGCCGATTTTGGCTGCCTTTTCGCTGTAGTCGGTGGACTTCTTCTCGAGCTTCTCAGCCGTGATGTTGTTCAGCGGCGCTATCGGGAGATCCTAGACACACACACACACACAGATGTACACGCAGAGACCAGATTGATGTGACGTCAGTTGGTGTGTCATGTCATGCCGCCTTTTGTGCGGTGGGGTATGTGACGCACCTCTGGATTGGACTGGAAGAATGATCTCAGCTCGAAGTAATACTTGGCATAGGTGCTGGGCTTGACGATAACCTGACGATCCAATGCATTGACAACACACACACACACAGACAATGATGGAAGTGCTCATGCACTACGACACATACGAGAGAGCGAAGCCATCTCTGCTCTGCATGTCTGTGTGTGCCCACCTGGTACTGCAGGAGTTTGACGAACTTGATCTCCATGTTGTTGATCTCGTCCAGCGTGAAGAACGGGTAAATGTACGCAAAATCGCTGTTGCCCAGGTACTTGTCGTCCCAAACCTGGGCACACACCGCACCCACACGCACACACAGATCGACACACACGGTCCAATGACACACAATCGATCGATACGTGCCGTCACTTGGCCAGGCACCTTTTGTGCGACGATGAGTGAGATGAACACCAGCGGTCTCCAGTTGCCAAAGTGCAGAGGCAGTCCTGCAAAGACAGACGCATCAGACGCACACAGACCACACACACAACCACTTTCGCCTTCCCTGGCCGCGCCAGTCAGTCAGTCAATGATCGATCCCCTTCATTCATTTTGCCCACCCCACCCAGCAACCACTACCCCGACCTGAGAAGGCGATGAGTCTGTTGATGTAGAGGAGCGAGAGGACGTTGCACTCCGGGCTGTACTCGGCGCACTCGTACAGCGCCGTGATGAACTTCTCGATGTCCTCTGCCGAGGGTTTCTTGGTGAATTTCTCCAGGAGGGTGCCCTTGAGCATCCGCTGCTTCTCCTTCAAATACGTCTCCTCGTCAAACACAAACCTGGGCAGTCACAGTCACAACACACACACACACACACAGATAGACAGACAGACAGACAGACAGACACAGATACACAGACACAGACAGAGAGAGAGAGAGAGAGACTGACTCAGTGTGTGCCTTTCTTTGTTTCTTTCTTTCTGCCTGCCTGTCTGTCTTGGGCCTGTCAGTCATTTCATTCACACTCACTCACGGACTCACTGACTCACTGACTGACTGACTGACTGACCAGTCTTCATCCTGCTTCATTTTGTGTACGAGTGAGGCGTCCTCCTCAATCTGGTCCAGGAGAATGTAGCTGATGGCGCGGATGAGCTTCTGCATATTGGGCCGGGTGATGGTGCTCGTCACCAGCATGTTGCCGTCAGTCTGGGCCAGCCGGTCCTCATCGTCCTTGGTGCTGCTGCTTGCCTGAGCCGCTGCTGTCGCCATCGTCTCACGCACTGTCAGTCAGGAGAGTCTGAGAGAGAGGAGGGGGCCGGAACTCTTTCGCTGCCAACCGACAACAGCACACACAATCGACACAACACAAGAAGAGCAGTGTGGCCCTGTGACGCGCTGGTGTCCTGCCTGTCCTCCCTCCTGCCAACGTGCAGCTCTCACCTCGTGTGTGGTGCTGGCACCTTCTTTGTCAACAATTTTCTCTCGACCACCCCTTCCTCAGTGCCTCCCGACGCTCAGGAAAGCCCTCAAGCCAAAGGAGGACAGAGCCACTCGAATGCGAGCTTAGCTCGAAGGGCGCTGTAAGCGTCTGGCGCATTCTTCCGTCGGTACAGAGCCCATTACAGCCGAGGAGTATCGCGCAACTTGCCGCCTCGTCGCCATGGCAACAAAAACGGCGCAGCCTTATGGCAAGCGTCTGTCGATGGTCATACCTCGCCAAGGTGAGCAGCCAACATGTCCTATACACCTGCCTGCCTGCCTGCCTGCCGGCCGGCAAAAACACACAGAGAGAGATTTGGGAAACGGGCACGCATAAGTGGACGGACTGGCGGTGTGCTGGTGGCCGGTTGGGTTGTGTTGTCAGTGCTGTATCTGGAGCGGCCCTTTTCGCAGAAGCTCAATCGGGACTCCATCTGGCACTTCAGGCAAAACTACCGCTCGTTCAGGTCAGTGAGTGGGTGGGTGCAGTGCACTCAAGGCAGGCACAGCACGGGCAGCCCAGCCAGTATGTATGTTATGTGTACACACAACACAACCATTTATTGTGTGCGTATCTATTGTATAGGTGTGGGATGCCCCACGGTGCCAAGGGCGAGGCCGACGAGGCGTTTGAGCGTGCCGTGTCCAACCCCCCCGACACACTGCCCGACGCCGTCTTCGAAGTGGAGGCCTCGCCCAAACACTACAACGGAGATGGTATGGTACACACAACACACAACACACCCCACGTCAAAGGCAGCGCGCACCCCAGCACAGTCGGCTTTGGACTGTGTGTGTTGTGTTGTGGTGTGTGTGGTGTCATGAGTGTACATACTGCAGTGACGCCCAGCACTGGGAAGCGTCTGTCATCTGCCTACAAGGAAGAGTGGGAGCACGTCGAGAGCAACGACACCAACCTCGCCAAAATAATCAACGTACACACACACACACACACACGCGAGCGCGCGCGCGCGCGTACTCACACATGAAGATACCCATACCCACCCGCCGCCCCCGTCCATTCTCTCGTCTGTTGATGCGATGCGATGCGATGCGATGCGATGCGATGCGTGCAGTCGATAGCCGAGTTCCGCATCGGCTACCGCCGCTTCCGCAAGGGCGAGGCCAAGGGTGCGCAGCGCCACATGGGCGACATCACGCGGGACATCAAGCGAGAGCACCTCCGTGTGCTGCCCGTGGCGCAGCTCAAGCAGCTCCAGCTGCAGCTCTCGGAGATGCGCAAGCCGTCGGAAGAGCGCATCATGCCCAAGGGCTTCCTGCCCACCGCATTTCACGTTCACTTCGGCGCAGGCAAACTCGGACTCGGTATTAAGATGACTGACTACACAGAGATGGATGGATGGATGGTCTTTTCTCTCTCTCTCTTTCTCTGTCTGTGTGTGTGTGCAGGTTTGATATCGACGGCGTTGGCAGGGAGTGGACAGCCGTTTGCCATAGTGGATCCCCCGCTGGATGCGTGGAAGGAGCTGCTCGAGAGCAAGTCGCCCACCACAGATGTCATCGTCAACGGCACCAAAATCACACAGCTCCAAGTGTAAGCAACCACATCACGGCCACACTCACACCACACAGCCGCACACCACACAGCCATCCCCCTATCTCCCTCTCTCTCTCTCTCTCTCTCTGTGTGTGGGTGGGTGAATGTGTCAGGCTCCGTCCGGGTGACCCCCTCCCCTCTCTGCCCATCGCCCCCGGGCAGCATGGCGGCTCCACCCCTCTGCGGCTGTTCGTGTGCTCGTCCGACGACGCCACGCTGGCCACGCTGATCAAGGCCGCCACGTCAATGAGCACCTCGGTGGGCCCCGCGCTGCCCATGATCGGTGACCGCATCAGCGGCGTACTCAGCGACCCGCCCAAAGACCACCACAGACTTCCCACGCTGTTCGGATGCGAGAATGACCACAAAGCTGGTGGGTGTGCTGTGTTGATGAGATGAGGGCAAAGGGGGGATATATGGCCGGGTGGGGGGGACCGGATGTGTGGTGTGGTGTGGTGTCTTGTGTGTTTGTTTGTCAGTTGATCGGTTGGCGAATTCGTTGGCGGGCCGTGTGGATGTGGTTTGCTGCATGGTGGACCGCATTTGCACGGGCAGAGAGCTCACGCCCACTGAGATCCGCATCACCACCGAACCTGACCCCGGTAAGCAACACCCTCCCGCCAACACACAGACACAGAGGAAGGAGGACATCCTTATAATATGTATGGCCTCATTCCTCTGCGTGTGTGTGTGTGTGTGTGTCAGGTGCGATTGTCGTCATGACGCCCCCCGAGCCGCCCGCGTACGCACCGGCCTTTGGCGGCGAGTGCTTCACGCTGCCGTTGGTGGAGGCCGAGGCACACTACTTCGCAAACCGCAAAATCACCATCGTCAACGGTACGTACGTATGTGTCTCTGTCTGTATGGGTGTGTGGCTGGTCCTGAGGCAGAGGTGATGCCCTCATATCTCCCTTTGTGTGTGTGTGTTGTGTGTCTGTGTACAGGAATGCACACGACGCTGGCCTTCATGACGCTGTGCATCATGCAGAAGGACGACGAGCCACGTGAGCTGAGCAGACAGACACACACACACACAGACAGACCAGCACTCATCAATCCATCTGGCCATGTGCGTTGTCGCTGCAGGCAGCCACGAGTTGCTGACGACGGCCACTCTGCCGGACGACAAGCAGCGGGAGGTCTGGGCGTGGGCCGTCGCCAGAGTGCTCATGATCCTCTGGCAACACGACACACACATCATCAAGGTAACGTAACCCTCACACGCACACACGCACACACACACGCGTGGAAAGACGCCTTCTCCCGGTGTCCTTGTGTGTGTGTGTGTGTGCAGCATGCGCACTGCATGAATGACGACATCGAGCTGGCCCGTCTGCTGCTGGGGTATGCGCGCCGGACGCTGAACCGGTTCGCCACCATCAGCGACACCACCGGCCGCATTCTGTCGGGGGGCGTCACCAACCGATACCAAACACGACTGCAGCCCGTCGACAAGTTTCTCATGAGCCAGTAACTACACACATAGACACAGACTGGGGCAGAGAGAGAGAGTCGGTCTTGTGTGTGTGTGTGTGCTGGCAGTGAGGTGGGTGAGGTGCCTCTCGGGAAGATTGTGCTCAAGTGAGACAGACTGAGACCGGCAGACACACTCGGTGATGTTCGGCTATCTCCCTATCTATCTGTGTCTGTGTGTGTGGTGTCATGTATTGTATGGGTGCATCGACCGCACCAGGGAGGCGGAGCTGACGGAGGGGTTTCTGCTGCGGGCCGTCCGGCGACTCGTCGAGGATGCTTACAGGTGGGTGTGAAGCAACGGGTGTGTCCACTGTACACATGCACCATCTGCGCAACTCCTATAGAGGGCTCCCACGCATCACTGTCTGTGTCGTGTCTGTCAGGTTCACTGGTCTGGGCACCACGGCGGCAGCCAGCCACGCCATGTGAGGCTGCTTGCCAACCACACCACACTGAGACCGCCAGCAGACAGACAGACAGACAGACAGAGAGGCCGGTTTAATTTTGTTTGTTGGGTGTCTGTCTGCCCACCTGACTGACCATGACAATGGGAGCACTTCTGAGGTCTTTCTAGCTTCGTTCTCCTGCTGCTGTCTACCGTGCGGTGTGTGTGTTTGGGGCCTGGTGTCGTTGTCCTTGGTGACCGTCGGGAACTGCACAGAGGGCCAATCCACCCTTTTGCGGTTCCGGACGATAACCGTGGCCGACGATGGAAGGACCCAAACACCTTTCGCGCCTTCCATTCCTTGTCCATTTCGTGTCTCGTGTGGCTGTGTATGTATGTATGCGTGTGTGCTGTACGTGGCAGTACCCACCTCGGCTTGGCTGGCGGTCATGATGGTCACCCGGGCGCACAAGACACGTGTGTGCGTGGGTTTCCAATGTGGCTGGCGGCGTAAGCCGAGGGGGTAGTGGACGGACGGACCTGTGGCTGATGCACACAAAGTGCGTTGTGACGTCTTGTGCTGTGTAGGAGTGAGTGGCGGTTTTGTTTGCGTGTGTGTGTGTGTGTCTGAGAGAGAGAGAGAGGGGGAGAGAGAGAGAGAGGGAGAGAGGGAGAGAGAGGGACATAGATACACGAGAGTGTGTGTGCACATGTATGTATGTATCGCTGTATTAATTGTATTCTGACTGCTATTGCAGTGCACTGCCTGAGAGGGAGGAATTTTCCGTCCAATTCAGTCAGGGATGGGATGCACACACGGAGAGAGAGGAGAGAGGAGAGAGCAGTGACCTTCCGGCCTTCACCTGTCTGTGAGAGGTTTAAGTGGATAGATGGGCGAACAATGATGAATCAGTGACCCTCACACAACACACCCCTCCCCTCCCTCCCTCCCTCCCTCCCTCTCTCACTCTCTCTCTCGCCCCCTTATTCATCTGTCTGTTTTGTTGGGTCGATTGGTTCTGTTGGCACCCCACTCACTCACCCTCCCTCCCTCATGATCAGTGGTGTGTACTTTTCGCGTTATCAGTCGCAGCTAGTAGGGGACAGACACATGTCATGAGGCATCCGATCCATCTGCCGGGTGTGAAATTGATGTACATTTTGTATTTCTGTGTGTGTGGCATACGTGTGTGTGCGATCAAGGACGGATCACTGATGGGATGGACGTGAAATGAAAACCTGCGTCGATGGCGCCCACCCCACCACATTGGTGCGTCTTTTGCACAACTAACGCTGCACGTGTCGGTCCTGCAGGCAACGATGTGTATAATGTTGACATACATAATCGCCGACATGCATCCTGTCGTCAGTGGCGGGATTGACTGAGGCAGGCCATCGTCACGTCAGAAGGTTAGAGGTGAGTGACCGCTCATTCGGCGGGGAGAGAGACGTAATTGACCGACTCGACCTGGCCAGGAGACGTAATCGACTGGCCAGATGAGAATGAGCGAATGAATGTCCGTCCCACCCGCCATGCCATGCCGGCCCTTCAGTGTCCCGATAAGCCAGTCCATTATCACAAATCAACTGCCGGCTCATCTTGTTCTCGACAAACAAATCCACTGCAGAGTTTGCCTTTCCCTGACAAATCTTGCAGTGGATGTGTTCGTCAAGGCCAAGATGAGCCGGCAGTTGAGATGATCAGTCAAACATACACACGTACTCATCTACATAGCGGCAGGGATCGAATGGGCGGCAGCATACACCGGCTGCCGTCGGTACTCGTGGCACTCATACACAGACACACACACACACACAGGAAGACAGGGCCAACCACAACCAACCACGGCACATGCCATTCCCCCAAACCCTCCCTCCCTCCCTCCCTCCCTCAAACACACACACACACGAAGACACACACCTGCTTACACGGATCCGCCCGCCACCGTGTGAATAAGTGTAGATGCCGTCCATCCATTCATTCAAAGGCTGGAAAACGCGGAAACGCAGCATGACCCTAGCGCCTAGCTATCCTCCGTCTGTCTGTGTCTGGGGGTGGATGGGTGTGGTGTGTGGGTGTGGGTGTGCCGCGGTCATGTCTGTCATGCAGTGGCATTCATTCGTCATGTATCCATCGCATCAGGTACGTATCAGGTACGTACGTGTACACGCATGTGTCTGTCTGTCTGTCTGTCTGCAAAACTCACTCTCTGTCTGTCTCACTCACTCGTTGTCTGGAAAACCATAGCACACCCACACACGGCACTCAGACACGCGCTCGCTCGCTCACTGCAAAAAGAACGCCGCCGAACCCGACCCGACGACCCGATCCGTCGGATTCATTCATTCATTCAGCAAAAATGTCACGAAGATTGCCTGGAGGGAGGGAAGGCACCCCCTCCCTCCCTCCCTCCATCCCTCCCTGCACTGCACGCACCCTTACAGGCATGCATTTGGGCCCTTTGCCTCTGTCTGCGTCTGTCTGTCTGTCTGTCTGTGAGTGAGTGAGTGATTGCTGTGTTTGTGCAATGGTGTTCGGCTCCCATGACAGGTCAGCTTCGGGACCATCACAGGACGACACCACACACTGCAGGCAGGCAGGCAGGCAGGCAGACAGGCAGACAGGCAGAAAGGCAGACACACAATACATACCATCCCTCCCTCCCTCCCTACACTCGCCCAGCCCACCCACGTGCACACACAGTCGACTTATCAATCATACAGTGCTTGCAAGGAAGGAATGGAAGCCCGCTCCCTACCATGCATGCCACCATCCTCGCTTAAAGCATCGGTGGGATGAATGCAGTGATTGATGCGATGAATAGATTAGATGTGTGGATGCGTGTCGGTCGACGAAAAGAGAAACGGCTCTGGTCCTGGTCTTGGGAGCTCACGCAGTGATGTGACATGGCAGCCACTGGACACACACTCGCTCGGTCGCTCTCACGCGGCGCATCCACCTTTTCCCCTCTTGCCCCCCGCCCGATACGCACTGACATCCCACCCCTCAAACCATCATTGCATTCGACGGGTCGCTCCTTGCTCCCTCCCTGTCTGTCTGTCTGACCGTAGAGAAACCACCACCCCACCCCACTCACCCCCGCCATCACCATCACAAAGACAAGACCATCACACGAGAGTGTGTGTGTGCGTCAGAGTCCCTCCCCCCTCAGCTCAGCTCAGCTACTTATAGATAGATAGCTATCGTCCCCTGTTGGCCCCTCCCCTGTGCACCTGCCGCTGCACGCGCTTCCTCACAGCATGGTCCAAAGAGGGCGTCGGCCGATGCGTGCTCAGACCCAATCCCAGCCCCGACACTGACGAACACGACTCGCCCCCCTCCTGGTACTCGCCGTCCGCCCTCAGAACCAATATCGACTCGTATCCTCCCGAGAAAGACAACCCCCCAGATCCGCTCGGCTCAAAAGTGGTGTTGGTGGTGGTGGGCGGCACACTAGTCGACGGCATGACCACCGACGAGAAACCGCTGTCGGCCGATTCGAATGACGGGAAGAAGGTGGATCCGGTGCTGCTGCTGCTGCTGTTGGGGGCGGGAGAAGCCGACGGAGGCGGGGAGGGCCACTTGGGCTGCTGTTGCTGCTCCTGGGGGTACGGACGCACCACGTGTGAGTTGCTGCGCGAGAGGGGTATGGCGGGGGGCGGTGGGACATCGGATGACGGCGGCGTCGAGGGCGTCGTGTGCGGGTGCGCCGGCATCCGCCCTCCCTTCTTGCCCCGCTTCGCCGACGATGGCGCGCCGACCTGCTCAGCCTGTCGGATAGCAGAAGAATGGTGGCCCCGGGCAGCTGTGGGTGGGGGGATGACCCGAATCGATCCGCCGGTGCCATTGGGATTGGGAATGCTGCTCACAGGCCGTCTCGACGCATGGCTGACATGTGACGACGACGCGGTGCCCGTGTGGGGCGGGGGCGGGGGCGGAGGGGGCGGAGGCGGGCGGAAAGCGGCGCTCGATCGGTCATCTGTCTCGCTGATGTCCAGTTCGCTGAAGCCGGGTGGGGGCGAGACATGCCGCCGTTCTGCGCCCGTGTGGCTGACGGACCGCATGAAGCCCGATGACGCACCGACGTGTGGGTGCACGATGCCATTGTGATTGTTGTCTGGGGGCGGGGGCGGGGGCAGCGGCCGATCTGACGTCGTCCTCATGTGGGCATAGATCGATGGGCGGGCGTCAGGTGACGGTCTCCTGAAGAGTCCCACACCACCGTGCCCACTGCTCCGCTCGATGTGCGGCTGGAAGGGATGGGACGGCACCGAGAAATCCCCACGATGGCCATCGACACTACTAGCTGATGGCGCCGCTGCTGCTGCTGCTGCTGGTGATGGTGCCGCTGCGTCATGCTCCTCCGATCTGAGCGAGTAGTTGGGCAGTGGCGGGGTAATTGGGCCTTTCTCCGTCTGCACCGAGAAAGGTGAAGATGACGAGAGAAACGGCGAGAGGGAGGAGCATGGCACGAAAACGGTGGACTGTGCTGTCGACTGAGACTGAGACTGGGGCTGCTGCTGCGGCTGGGGGGACGAGTATGAAGCCGTGTCCGCACAGGCATCCTGCTCACGCTGCTCTCGCCGATGCCGCCATAGATGGGAGAACCGGCTCTCGCCCGGAGTGTCGTCCTCATCTGCCTCATCTGGTTCGGAGGCCTTAATGTGAGCAGGGGGCGGCATGGCGATGGGCTGTGGTGCTGGTGGTGGTGTTGGTGTTGGTTGTGCTGCAGCGATGTGGTTGGTGAGGTCGAGCCAGGTGAGGATGGATGTGATGACACGCGGAGGGGGCGAGGAGGGGGTGCGCAGAAGGCTGCTGTCGACGTCAGTCTGACCACAAACAAACACCCAAGAGACCAGACCGTCTGTCTCTCCCCTCCCTCTGTGTGTGTGTATGCTCACATCACACACATACCAGCAGAGCAGCATCAGCGGCCTCCCCACTTCTGGCCCTCATCATGTGTTCGCACAGCTGCTTGTCGCTGCAGTAGCAGTCAGGGCAGCACATCGAGAAGCCCTGACCCGCCAGCCCGCCTCCCATCCCGTCGCCGCCATAGCCGTCCTCACTGCCCTCCTCATCGCCATCTCCCTCACCCAGGCCCAGCCCATCATCGCCACAATAGCCGTTGAGGTAGGCCATGTCGCCATCTATCAGGTCCACCCCGCTGCCCAGCATCGACAGCCGCACCGAGTGTGGCAGCGACAGATGCGGCACGGCCGGAGATGACGCTGGCTCCTCAACCACTGTTCCCACACCACCACCCACACCCTCCGCCCCCTCCTCTGCAAGCTTCTCCCTGCTTTTGCTCCGCCTCCGCGCCCGCCAGACCTTTCTGGGCTCCTCGCTGGTCATGTGGTCTGCCGCGAGAGGCGGCGTCTGGCGTGGTGTGAAGGCTCGGGGTGTGGACGGGGTTACATTGGCGTTGCCGGATGTGGGGAAGGATGGCATGGTGGACTCAGAGGGGTCGGGTGACGCGTGGGGTGCCTGAGGGTGCTGCTGCTGCTGCTGGTGCTGGTGCTGCTGCATGAGTGGGGGCTGGCTGGTGGAGTGTGTGTGTGGTGCCGCATCGGGGAAGTAGGTACGGAGGAAGCGATTGAGGATGCCGTCTACGCGATAGGTGTCGGGGTCAAGGCTGAAAAAGACACACACACACACAGCCAGACGGGGCGGGGCGGGAAGTAAGGACAGTGAGTGCATTGAACAGACAGACAATGGTGTGTTGGGATGGCATGTATGGAATCCCTCCCTCCCTCCTTACTTGGTGACCCTTTTGCAGACGGGGCATGATTCGAACAGCAGGTTGTTGGCCTTGGCGTTGGCATATGACGTCGCCAGACAGTTCCAACCTGATAGACAGACACATCAATCAATGGACCACAGAAACCTCTGTGAGTGTGAGTGTGTGTATTGGGTGCCCATTACAGAATCTGTGTGCGCATGCGGAAAGCGATACGGGGTCGGTGAGGGCGCAAGTGCAGATGGGGCACAGCAGCCTCTCGCGCGCCGGGGGCTTCTCCAGCACCATACCCATGAACTCGTCACTCAAACGGTCCAAACTGCTCACCTAGGGCGACACACACGACACAGCGCACAGATCAAAACACAAGGAGAGGGCAAGTCAGTCAGTCAAAGTGTGAGTGGTGGAGAACCTACCAGGTTGGGCAGTTCCGGCGATCTGTAGAAGTCTTGCCTCGACAGCGTCTTGGAGGCGCTCTCGTCATCTAGCTGACCAAACCGGGTGTGCTTCCGCCTACACACACAGATGTGATGTAAGCTGGTGGCTGGCTGGCCCCTCCATGCCATGGGCTCATTCGTTCCCGTGAGTGACGCACGCGACGCACGCACCTCTTTTTGGTGATTTTGACGACGGCAACGCTGTTCCACACCACATACTGCCTGAGCTTCGCCAGCAGCTGGCCGGCCTTGGCGAAGTTCTCCATCAGCTGCCGAAACTCCTGGTAGTGCTCCATCTGCAACAGGTGGTCCAGCAGCCCCTCAAAGGTGCTCGGCATCACCCCCACCAAACCGCTCCCATTGCCATTCTCGCGATGATGAGAATAGGGTGCCAATGAGGCCGAGTGGCGGATGGATGCCAGGTGGCGGATGACGCGTGGGTGTGTCTTGAGGTATCTGAACTGGTCGTGGATGGCGTCGACGAGCGCCTTGACCTCGGCCAAGTGGCGGTGGAACGAGCAGTCGACTCGGCCCAGGTCGCAGAGCAGAATCTCGTTGAAGTGGTGGTTCTCCTGGATGGCCACATCCATGCTACTGGACACACACACACACACCACGCCACACATCATGCTTTCTTGAAGTGTTGCATAGTGTGGCCATCGTGGATGGCTCTGCTGACCCGTTGTGGATGGCTTCCTCCATGGCCCTGATTTTGCGTTTGAGCAGCTTGAAGTTGAGGTAGTGCTTCCCGCGGTTGGACTTGGCCTGCAGCCGAATCGACTTGCCGAACTTCATCTCGAGGGACGAAACCACCCACCCACTCACTCACAGCGGAATAGACCGACGGTGAACCGAAGAGGGAGGAAGACGATTACACACACCAGATGGTGGTCAGGTCAGACAGAGCTGCGAACAGCAACGCGGCGGGAGATCAGCAGGCGCCGTGAACCCACATCGATTCGATGCGCAGCTCCCATAGGTCTATGCGGTCGGTGCATGCAGTCCATGTGCCGGGGTGACCTCCTGGCGTCACGCGGCGCCCTCCATCACGCCCGCCACCTCATGGGTCAGCCTCACGCCATGGAGAAGGCCGCCATGGCAGCTGGGACCCGACGTTAGTTGCCGAAGTGCTTGGAATAGCTCTTTTGGTTCTCCAGGCCGATGTTGCCGAGCTCGCAGGCGATCGCCGAGGGAGCGGTCTTATTTCTGAAGGTTTTCGCAACAGAAGCGGTGTGGAAGGTGCCGTGTGTCATATCCACTTTCAATTAGCGGCGTTCTGCGAGTCTCCCTTCCTCTCACCAAAACGGGCGGTGTTTCCCTCTGATTCGTTGTTTCTCTTGAAGGATGGGCAGCGTGTGCACTCGACCGTCGCCCACGTCAGCGACCGAGCCTTCTCGCGGCGACTCGCAGCGGACGACTGGTCCGAGCCTCAACACGGCTCGTGGCGGCGACAAAGCTCAGCCTGTCAAGGGCGACATGCCGATAGGGGAACACGAGGGCGAGGATGAGGACAACGTGGCCATGGACCTGCCGCTGCGCTCCAAAAGCGCCAGGCCCGCGCATGCCAATGACACGACGTACGGGGGATAGGCAGGCAGTGCACTCACTGAGTGGGCGGGGCGGTGAGGTGACTGACGGGTTGGAAGACAGCCAGTAGACAGACAAGACAGACAGGGAGTGAGTGAGCTGCTCTCTATATAATATGGAGAATCGCTGGTTGAGTAGCACCGTTTACGTGAAGTGCTTGCGGGTGTGACATCAATTCAATGACTCACTCACTCACTCACTCTCTGTCTGTGTGTGTGTCGTTTTGTGTGTGTTGTTGGTTTTGTTACCCTTTCGTGTGTGTGTTTGTTTGCTAGGGGCATGAAGGTTGACTCGTCGGTGGTTGGGTCAGGTGCGGCGGTGCGTGGCGCACCAGACGTGGTTCGTGACGGACAGCGGTTCGGTGCTAAGAGCATGACCTGGAACGCTGCGCAACTCGACCCCGACACTGCTGCTAGACTCAAGCGATTCTACGCTAGAAACAAACAGGTCAGTCTGACATACCAATAAGCCATACGCACACCACACACACACACACACACACAGACACGCCCCTCGTCCAGCATCACCACCCACACAACCAATCTCGTGCCTGCCTGCCTGCCGGCCTGTTGGTGCCTTGATTGATGCAGGCACAGGAGACGGAGGCGGTGTCTATCCGTGAGCAGTCGCAGAAGTACGACGAGGCCACATTGCAGAGCCTGCAGGACAACATCAGCACCCAGGTGGCCGACGACGCCGAGGCCGTCACGGCCAGTGTGAGCGAGAAGCTCGCCGCCCTCGACGTCTTCTCGCCAGACGTCAGGTCACTCCGATGGAAGGAATTCGAAGCCATGCTCGAGGAGGGGTACGTATTGCACCACACACACAACCAACGCCACACGTGCACAGACAGACAGACAGGGGACGAGTGACCGATGGCTGTTGTGTGTATGTCAGGGGCATCAAGACGTTGGATCATTTCCGTCAGCAGGCGGCTGGCAAGCGGGGCAAAGACAAAGCTATGACTCTCGCTGGAGTGGTCAGTCTCTATGACACAATGCATTCATTGCCTAGCTACATAAGGATGCATCGTCAAATGCATGCTTTCTCTTCTCGCCTGTCTGCAGAAGCAAACCCCCGGTCAGGCCTTCGGCACTCTCCACTAACCCCACAGCCAGCTATCGAAGCAACGCCTCTGCCATGCTCAAGTACTATACGGCAGGAAGGAAGGATAGCAGGCAGGGTAGACAGACAGAGACGGACAGACAGACAGACAGACAAACACCACACAAATGAATGCACTGACTTGCGACTGTGTTGTGTGTCTCTGAATGAATGCGTGCAGGTGTGCAGTGAGTGGAGGGCGCGGCGTGTACTGTACAATGAAATGACAATGACCGCCGAACACTGACCGACCGACCGACCGACTGTCTGACCGCAGCAATTGACGGTGGATGGATGGATGGATCTTAAGTGCGGACGACTGATTGACCTTTTGTCGCCCTCCCTCCCTTCCTCCCTCCCTTCCTCCCTCCCTCTATATCTCTGCCTGCCTGCCTGCCTGCCTGCCTGCCTCCCCCACTCACCCACCCCAGCCCACGCACCGACCGACCTACCCTGCCCAATATATAGGCGCATCTGTGCTTTGCCGCCCTGCCCGTCTCCTCTCCTCTCCCCTGTCAGCCTGTCAGCCGCCTGCCTTTGTACCTGCCCGGTGCGGTGCGTGCCTGTGTCAATAATCATGAGTGATAGTTGCGCACCCCAGTGGCCATAGTCGACTGCCTGCCTGCCTGCCTTGCCTGTGTGTGCGTATTGTCGCTTCCATGGTGGCTCACACACATGTACGCGCACACACACAGCCAACCAGCCAGCCAGCCAGCCAGTGAGTCTGTCTGTCTGTCTGCGTGTGCCCATGGGTGTGGTGTGCGCTGTGTCCCCCCATCGCTCCTGACTGTCCATAGACATACATATACGATCGATCCGCTAGACACACGTCGTGTCTGCGTGTATGTGAGCAGCGCTTTTCTAGCTTTCAACCAGTGCGGTGCGTGTGTGGCTATTTTTGCGCACTAGATCGACCGCAGTGCGCGTCCGTGAGCCACCCACACAGCAGAGAGAGCCTGAAAGGACAGAGAGAGCGTTTCGATCGGTTCATTCATTCATTCATCTGATGGTGTGTGCGTGCGGCGGCCAGGCAGGCGCTTTCTCACACACTGGGTGCCTGCATGCATGGCCATGGCATACACATAAAGTGTCTCGTGTCACGTATGAATGCCTTGTGGTGCCTGCCCGTGTGCGTGTGGCGGACTGAATGATTGACTGACTTGTGTGCAAAGGGCGTCTTTTTCACGTCTAAGTTGGTACTGTGTGTCACGTGCTGAGAGATCTAGAGCCCACTGCACCTGTCAATTATACAGTTGTAGCCTCCTGTCTGCCATCCATTCATCTCACAAGGCGGATGCAGGCACCGACCGCTTCGCAGGACTTGCCATGTGCTTTGAATTGGGGGCCGCAGAGGTGCCAGTGGGCGTCTCGAGTCTCAGCCGGCGTGCCTCCCTGAGTCTTGGAGGACAATGCCACCCCGTCAGTGTGTTGTTTTGGCGACGATCTACATTGCGCTGGGCTGCCTCCCAGCAGCTCTGGGCTGGTGCCACAATGTCACCGCTGGAGTGCGTGGCGGCAGTGCTGGTGACGCCGGCCAGGGCTTCCTACGGCTTCGAAACAAGACGCCGGTCCCTCACACTCTCTGGGGTACGCCCGTCGTGAGCAATCAAGGGCACGACAAACCGAACGAGTCTGTTTGCAATCGATGCAATGAATGTTCTTTTTTCGGTAGCATGCCACTCCCCCATTCACGGCAGGAACATAGTGATCCGCAGGCTCGAGGGGACCGACAACAGTGATCTCATCTCTGTGTACGACACCCCAGACTGGTCGGTGGAGTGCAAGTGTCGTTGTGGGCATCACAGAGATGCATCCACAGAGGTCATGATGTCTCCCTCCGTTGTGTTGTCTCCATGGATACAGGTGGACGATTGGCAACGGAGTTGCGCTCGTTGATTTAGACCTCGACGCGGAGCTGCCGCGGAAGCTCGTCGGATACCTGAGAGACGACAAGAAGGTGCAGTTTGAGAGGGCTAATGACTCCATCGTCGCGGATGGGCGCGACTTTGACAAACCGCAGCATGACGATCCCTTGGCCTGGAAGGACCTTGTCGATTCCCCGGTGCCTGAATTTCTGGCAGCTGAATCTCTCTGACATTGAACAGGTAGATGAGTATACCCACGTTAAGGAAATGCCACTCGGTGTTATCACGGGAATGCGTGGATGTACGCAGGTGGCTTCCGCCAATGAGCACCTCGGCCTGCCACTCAATTACTTCCGGAACATCGTCCTCGTGTTTTGCGACAAACAGGCCTTTTTCGACACCAGCGAGATGCCATAGCCATCAGCCAGGACGCTGCGAAAGATGAACTATGCAGGAGCTGAGCGATGGAAGCCTGCCTTCAAGCTCACTTCCTTGTGGCAAAACATAAGATTTCTCCTTGCACCCGGAGGCACCCTGTACGTTAACAACATCCCTGTACGTGAGACACGCCGTCTGCATACACACACATAAGGTGTCCTTGATCATCGGCAGCACCTTGTGTGTGTCTATTGTAGGCCCTTCTCTTCCAAGGCCATCCATGTGACTGCAAAAGGCCTCAGAGCTGGCCTCCCAAGAAGACGATGTGCGAGCACCACGAGAGGCTTGGAGTGGAAATCTGCTGGAACAACGGTGCAATGAGGGTGCTGTTCGACCCCTTCATCGACCTTCTCGACGCAATGGGACTGCGGCTCGTTGGCCCGTTCGCCTACGATCGACTGCGGCTCGTTGGCCCGTTCGCCTACGATCGAATAGGTTTGAGAAGCCTCCAACATAGAGACATGCAATATCCCGCGCGTATCTTGTTTGTTGCAGTCTTGCCTCCATTCGTGCCTTCGGCCTCGTTGGTGCCCGCTATGGGGGTTGCATTTCGACCAGCGAGGCCGAAGTTGATAAAGCCTTAGCGTATCACCTGACTTGACCAGCCTAAGTTGATTTCGACGGGGAGATGAACGACGCGATGCATCAAGCGATCGAACGGACGAAGTGAAAGACACTCACGAACTGACAAAGTAAAAGAGCCTCGCGCCAGTGCAGAAGGGTGTGGGCGATCGAGATTAACAAACCGATTCCATCGCCTTGGCAGCTAGGCAGGGCTCAGTCAGTGACCTGCAGCGGGGGCGATTCAATGGCATTGTCGATGAGCTCACACGAATGGCGGACACGTATGGACGAATTGGACGAGATGGATGCATACGCACGTCAGAGACCCGCGTGGATCTGTATGTATCGAGAGACACATGCACAGAGGACCGATGCATGACGACACGACAGTCAAACTTGGAGTGCATTTCTCAGCCGTGGAGTGCACAGTCAGTGCCCTCCCTGTGCAGTCGTGCATGGTACCTACCTGCATATGTAGACAGCAGACATGACATGAACAGCAGCGAGAACTGAAGGAGGTGACTGGTTCGGGTGTGACGTGTCTCTTTTCCTTTATTTTCCCCTACTAGAGTGTGATGTTATCAGGGGGGATGGATACCGACCAAGTGATGCATGGGAGCTTTTGTGGTTTCCAATGCGCGCTTTGCTGCAACTTGAGTGACGCACTGCATTGTCACACGCAGCGCAGCTATCTATAGACGCCATTCATTGCGCTGCGCGACCTCACACTGTACTGTATGTATCACACATCCCATCCGCACCGATATGCATATCGAGCATGTATACCATACAATACAATCTGTCTGCACATCACATCCAACAGATCTGTCACACATCATCTGTCTGTCTGTCTGTATGTCTATCTATCTCTCACACACGGCACGGCCGCCCCCCTCCCACCCCTCTCGTGCGTGCATCCTCGCCCCTTGTCTCTTCGCTGACTCGGGCCGATCCACGTAAGCCTTCGCCTTGTTCGCGAAAGCCCACAGCTCAGAGTACCGCCGATCGCGGGGACATGCAGCCACGAGCCTCCCAATCCTGGCCGACAAGTCACTGTCGTCCTCTGTCGGGCTGGCGTCTGTGCTGAGTATGATTGGTAGGCTGTCGACAATGCATCGGAGTGCCTCTGGCTTGAAGCCGTGCAGGATGCCGCTACTGTGATGGAGCAGCGCACGGACCGCATCGCCCATTGAAGGATCCCACCCATGCGCACGACGGAAGTCCTGAGGCGGACAAGGAAACAACAGCCCTCCATCCTTTCTGAATGCGCAATGCGCATGGCACTCGGCATGCGCATATGCTTACCGCAATGCACTCAATGGCCATGGCGACATAGGCCGGCCCCAAAACAGATGTCTTGTTTGCGAGATGGCGACACATGGTCAAGAAGGCGTCCCGCCACTCAGGCACCTCCACTCCCTCTGACTCAGTGGCTGCCAGCGCCCTCTCGCACCGCCTGAGGGCCGCCATGGACTCGCACAGCGAATTCCCGCGCAGGTCAATCGCCTTTCTGATATACGGAGAAGGCACGTGCCCATCAACCAAACCGATCACATGCTCGTTCATCCATCCTCTCACTGACTCGCTCACTCGAGTAAGATGTGTGTGTAGTGGTCGAGGAGTTGTGTGTCGTAGCAGCCAATGCGGATCATACAGCGGGAGAGGAAGGCCAGGTGGGGCGCCCCCATCAAGGGCAGCAGCTGACGGGCCCGCCCAAAGGCAGATGACCAGAACGGCCGGTGCAGCAGCTTCCTCTCGCTCCCCTCTGCATCAATCAACCCACACACAGACACACAGACACACAGACAGACAGGCAGAGGAAACACGAGATCTATCCATTCAATCCAGCTGCCGTGTTGTTCATTCCTCTGTGTGCACGCCGCACCGACCTCTGCAGTAGAAGAGCAGTTCAGTGAGGTTCATGAGTCGGAAGTCCACCAGCTGCAGCGCGAGCCGGTGCACCTCCCTCTTGCTCTGATCTGACGGAGGGGGCCGGTGCTGCAGCAGATGAAGCTTCAGCACCAGCTGCTTACGCTGGCTTCCCATCACATCCTTTCTAGAGCTCGCAACCCGCCTAGGGTGCTGCCTGAAACCGCTGCTGCCTCTGCGAGCTTAGCGGAAGGAGGAGGAAGCGGTGTGAGCATCCAGGTTGAACCACACGTATACGAATCAGTGACTGAGTCAGACCAACGACAAGGTGTGCTGTGCGAGTGAGAGGGTTAGGAACACTGAAGGAGGGCTCCCCGTTCTCACAGCATCGCCTCCCTCAGTGCCGAGGGGTGTGAACCCCAGGAGGTGTCAAGCATGACTGACCCGACTCAGTGTAACATCTACATCACACCCGTCGCTCGGGAGACCACCGAGAAGCAACTCAATGACCTCTTCTCCGCCTGTGGGGAGGTCATGCGAGTCAAGGTACGCACACACGCAAGCCGATCAACACAGCCAGCAACAGAGAGATGAGAGGAAACAAAGCAGGGCACCGACATACACATCCGTTCGTGTGCGCTGTGTGTGCTGTGTTTGTTTGTAGATTCGTGAGAATGAGCGTGGCCTTTATGCTTTTGTCAACTTCTCCAAGCCGGACGAGGCGCAGCGGGCGGTGCGGGACATGCAGAGCTACGAGCTGCATGGCGCCAAGATGAAGGTGGAGCTCCAGAAGAGCCGCGCCACCCCGCCAGCATCGCGCGACCCCTCGTCGGGCGGCCGACGCGGTCCTCCCACCGACCGCCGTGGCGGGCCCATGTACGGCGACCACATGATGATGGAGGGGGGCGATGCATGGGGTGGCGGACCCAATGGCTACGGAGGCGAGAAGAGGGGGCGGCAGCCAGACGGCGGCAGGGTCGACAGGGGCGACGTGCAGCTGCACTTGATGAACGTGCCTGCGGACACGACTGAGGACATGATCCGTCAGCGGGTCGAGGGCATCGTGCCGGTCACCAACGTGCGCAAGTTCATCCGGCCCAAGAATGAGGGCGAGAAGACCGACCCCACGAGAGACGGCTATGCCTTCCTGCATGTGAGGAACGAGAAGGATGCCGAGGAGCTGATCCGGGCGGTGGACGGCACCAACGGCTGGATACTCCGGTACAGCAACCACCACATCCGCACACTCATACAGCGGGCGGGCGGAGACCCCAAGACCAGATCAGGTGAGTGAGCCGGATAGGGCGGAAAGCAACGCAGCGCAACACGGTGATGCCATCATGCTTTCTTTCTCTCGGTGTGTGCGTCAGGTTTGGTGTTGGTTCGTGAGATCACTCTGTACGGCGTGCCGGAGGGCCCCCTCTCTCCCGAGCTGCGGCAGGCGATGCGTCACTTCTTCAGTCAGTTCGGCGACATCGAGAACATCGAGGGCACCGGCACGGGCATTGCATTCGTCCTCTTCCGCGAGCTCAACGGCGCCACCAAGGCCATCTTTCGGTCCAAATCGAGCGAGGAGAAACTGACCATCGCCCCAGGCCTCACCTGCACCGTCATGTACTCGGACCCCGTGCAGCGCACACACGCCGTACCGGACCCCGACATACGCGACATCCTGGAGGGGGCCGACGACCGCCTGCTTGGGCATGGCATGCCCGCGGGGCCGCCCGGCAAGCGCCCCAGGCAAGGTGACTACCCCCCTGACTTCGGCCCCCCATTCATGGCCGCACCGCCCCCATTCTTCCCCCCTGGCGCGCCAGGAGACGGGTTCCTCGGCCCGCCACCGGCGTATGGGCGTGATACTGGCCGGCCTGCTGCATGGGATGACCCGACGCGGAGAGGCCCCGAGCCACCTGTGCCGGCATATGGGGGGCCGGGGATTGCGGCCAATGTGGACCCGCAGCTGCTGGCCATGGTTGACAAGTTGGGAGGGCTGGAGGGCATCAAGGCGTTGCTGGGTGCGTCGGCTGGCGGACAGAGCGGCCAGGGGATGGCCGAGAACCCTTTGCTGACTCAGCTACGGCAGATGCTGGGGCAGCAGCCGCCCCCGAGAAGCCGCGAGAAGGTCTTTTTGATGCCGCTCGTGCAGCAGGAGAAGCCGTATCTGTTCACACGGGGCAGAACCACGTCCGCATCGCCGTTTGGGGGCCCGCCCGCGGTCAGCGAGACCATGCCCACCCTCTTCCCTCCACCAGCCGTCCCTCCCGCCCCTGTGCAGGTGCCACCTGTGGCACCAACAACAGCACCAGTCATGGCACCGACGGCAGTGGCACCACCCCCACAGCCGCCCCCTGCTGTCGCGCCCCCGCCGCCCATCAGTGAGAGCCCCGAGCCCGGCGATGTGTGTTGGCGGGGCAGCATGGTCAGGAGCAACAAGAAGCGGGTGCCCGTGCAGGCGCGCTTCCTCCGCGGCCGATTCCAGTCCGTGTTCAACAAAGGGTGCGAGCAGCTCAACATCAGCCACCGGTCGTCATGGGAGGACGTCGGCAAGCGGCACGTGATTGGCGTGGTGTGTCTGGAGGCGACGAGCGATAACGGCGGTGTGCCGACGGCCGCTGACTCGAAGGGTTTTTTCGAGTACATTGAGTACTTCAAGAGCAAGGAGAGGGCGGGTGTGGCGCGGATCGAGGAGGGCAACCAGTATGTCTACATCATCCCGCCCGGTGTGGAGCTGTTCGTCCAGCACGGCCCGCCACCCAGGGGGTCGGCAGACCACACACTGCTGGCCCTTGTCAGCACTGACCCTGGTACGTACGGTGGAGTGGATCCACCCACACACCATCCATGCCATGTGACATATCTGACATACGTGTCCTATTTGGTTGTCCCTCCCTTCAGATGGGGCCCAGCCTGCAGCAGCACCGACAGGAGCAGCCACTGCGCCGCTAGCGAATGCGCCGTCAGGAGGTGCCAACACAGGTGGCGAGCACGGGAAGGATCAGAACGGGACTGACCAGGAGGCGGCCTTGCGGGCGCTGCTGCAGCGACCCGAGGTGCTCAACCTTCTCAGCCAGAAGGACGGCAAGTGACTGACTCACTGAATGGGCGGGCGGGAGTGGGGTGGGTGCCTTCCTCTCTTTCTGTCCTGCGGTTTTGTCTGTCGTGTCCTCTGTCTGGAGTGTGTGTTGGTGCCTGCCGTTGGATTGATCGCATCATGTGGTTGGTTGAGCTCGTATCGTTCCCATATTACATACATTCATAAACATACAGATCATCTATCTAAGGGGTGGGTGTGGATGTGAGAGGGCAGGGGAGGGAGGGAGGGAGGTAAACGTGTTGTGTTCCTTTGCTGCTCTGTGACACGTTGCCGACGGCACGTGCGGTGGATGGATGGATGGATGGATCCGGGGGTGGTTGGGGGCAAGTGAGGCGAGACAGACAGACACAGACAGACAGAGATGGGCAGGCACATGTGAAAGCTCTTCCCCGCCTCCTGGACGCACCCACCCCGCTTTCATCAAGTGAGGCGAGACAGACAGACACAGACAGACAGAGATGGGCAGGCACATGTGAAAGCTCTTCCCCGCCTCCTGGACGCACCCACCCCGCTTTCATCAAGTGAGGCGAGACAGACAGACACAGACAGACAGAGATGGGCAGGCACATGTGAAAGCTCTTCCCCGCCTCCTGGACGCACCCACCCCGCTTTCATTCATCACAAACACACACACCACACCACTGTGGAGGCACTTTTAAGAAGGCAAGAAAGATGCATGAGCACGGCAGCACAGCAGCACAGAAAGAAAGAAAGGGCATCCGCAGAAAGAAAGATAAGCACAGAACGCAAGTAAGGGCATGCACTGCACGAGGCTCATTCATTCAGCAGAGCTGAAAACATAAGTATGGCAGGCAACCCATGCATTGTATGTGTGCGTCGGCTCGCTCATCCACCACACACATACGGACACACACACACACACATACAGCACAGCACACGCCCATCAACTACCTACCAGCCTACCAGCCTGCCTGCCTGCCTTTTTTTTGAATATCGGTGGGGCCGGGCCAGGCTAGTCCAGGCCGCCTAATATATCTCACTGTCAGTCAAACTCTGCGTGTTGATGTATCATATCTATGCGTGATGCGTGAATGCATACGTGTAAGTGAAATTGCCGCCGACTGCATGGCACGATTCGATTCGCCGGCGGGTCATTTTTTGCTGCTGCAATGCAACATTCCCTCTCGTCCCCTCCCCTCCCCCCAACCCAATCCAACCAGTGTGCGACACTACTGATTGAATTTTCGTCGGTGCGTTCATTGCATGCATCCATCCATCCATCCATCCGTCCGTCCGTCTGGCCGGCGGCAAATTACTAACCCACGAACATCACACCTGTATCCATGCATCCATGTCTGTCGGTCTGTCTGCCGAAGTCTTGCAGAGACACGCACAGCACATGCATGAAATGCAACGTCCTAGCCATAGCCAGGGAGATAGATGGGTGTGCCTGTGTGGTTTGGTTTGTATGGCTGGGGGATTGCTGCTTGTTGGACAAACAGACACTCAATTGTGTGCATGTGTATGTGTGTGTTGCTGCCTTCGTGTCTCGGTGCCTGCGTGTCTCAGTGCCAAATTACTAATCAATCAGTCAACTATGCAATCGCTGTTGCCACAACAGACAGAGACATGGCAGTTCACAATACCTTCCAACATCACCACCAGCAAATATAAAATGCAGGCAGCAATAAAATGAATCTGGCCCACCATCGGCGCCATTGGGCCCTTTTGACCTCTCTCACACATCGACGAGCACACGGCCGTCCTCATCGTCTGCAATACAAGCAAACCATACATGCACACACATAGAGATGCTCATCCATCCACCGCCCCCCAAGACACATCCCACCCTGTCAGTGGGTTCAGCCCCGCTCTTGCCATGAGGTCTGGACGCATCGCTCGAAAGCTGACGGTCTCCAGACCTCTGACATCCAGGAGGCTGCATATGTCGCTGGCAGATCTTGCACACACACAACCGAGACACGAGTGGAAGGAAGTGAGTTTTGTTCCGTTTGTTAGCATCTTCATTCAGATACCTATGCACACATTCAGGTCCTTGATTGAGGGATAGATATCTCCACCCAGCCACAGGCCACGGCTGCCCCGAATCAGCGAGAAATACACCTTCTCCATCGCCACCCCTCCCCCAATGGCCAGCAGGATCGATTGCACGAAGTGCACGTCGACGGCCTTCCAGACACTCAGTTCATTGATGCCGGTCATGCAGCTGTAAGCAGCCGCCCCGCTTCCCACCCCACGCTGCTGTCGAGGACAAGGTGGGAGCTGTCGGCGACGATCGACAATGGCAGGTAGTTGAGAATGGCCGGCACACATCGGGCAGGGGAGGGCTCGGGCAGAAGCCATTTGCGTCCTCAAGGCAGAACTTGGCCGCCCTGGGAAACGTCAGCCGCCTGGAGACGTCGGTCGCAGCTGAGGACGGCTGGCGGAAGAGAGCTAATTGGAAGAGAGAGTGCGCATCTTGCGCGTCATGCAGATGCTGCGCTCTCAGCTTCCACAGGACGCCCGTGGCTTCATTCCCGAGCTTAACGAGGCTGTCTCTTACAAACATTGACGTGCTTGCGGGGAGGTACATGAGCACGTCAAAGTTGAAAGAGAAGCGGTCGTTGGCGATGGAGATAGTGGGGCCGGCAGCGAACGTGCGGGAGAACGACTGGATGGCGGCGAGAAGGGGCAGAAAGGAGCCGTCGACTCCATCGAAAGCGTCGATGTCGAAGTCGATAGTGACATCGATTGACGAGCGACGACAGCCGCGTGCCAGCATGACGGCCTGAAAGGGAAGAAAAAAGCGAAGCATGCAAAAAGAAATGGAAGCGTGCACTTTCTCCTTGCATACCTCCAGCCGGTCGAATGCCTGGCGCATCTGGACGGTATCTCAAAAAACACGCACAGTGCCGATCGTCTTGAGATGGCTTAGAGGCGCCACCAGCCTGCCCCCCCTCTCTCGTGGCCAAAGGCAGGCGCTCAAGCAGCTCTGCCTTCTTGTTGGCTGTGGATGACGAGCCAATTCTCGTAATTGTGGTTGACAATCGGAGAAAGGCACTCGTCATCTCCCCATCACAACCAGGGCCGCTCACGTCGATCAAAGACGGCATCAGCCATCTGTCGGCCAGGGAACGGTGGGCTTGTAGAAGGCCTGAGATCGATGTAAGGGCCGGAAGGCGTGTGCGGGCGCCGGCAGGGGGGAAGGGAACGACGGGAGGTGCTCTAAATGGTCCCGGCCGTACTGGCATGGGCACCCTCTCAAATGAGACGGCTTTGAGCGATGCTCCTTGGATTCCCGACCCCTCTTGTGCCGCTGCCTCTGCCCGACCTGCCGCTTGGCCAGCAACGAAAGCCACCAGAGCGGCGAGGCCCCATTCCGGAAAGCCGCCAGGGTGCCGCGTCATGATGGTGGAGACGTTGATGGCAAGCTGTCCCAGCTGTCTCGCGCGCTGCGGCAGCATTCTGCCCCAGACCTCCACGCCTTCGTGCGTCGATGCGTCGATGATCAGGCGCGTATGCAGCTTGCAGCTTGCACACTTGTTCCAGCACGGAGGGACAGAGGCGGGAAAGGACGAACAGGGGAGAGGGCAGGTAGGCAAGGACGTTGATGACCAAATCAGGCTGAAAGACAGACGGAAATGTCGGCTGTGTCACCATGTCAACATGGATAAAGACATACCAGCAGAGGCGCTCCCTCCGGTGCGTTGTTGGCCTCTCCAGCTGCAGCTGCGTTGCTGCTGGTCTCCCCACCAGCAGCAGGGGCTGTGGTTGAGGCAGCATGACAAAGCTCAGGGGCTACAGCGGGGGCATCAGGGGCTGTGGTTGAGGCAGGTGCAGCAGAAGTAGCAGCATGAGACGACTCAGCGCTTGCAGGCGTAGAGCGCGGTGCTGTTGGTGTGTTGCCTTCGGTGCTGGCCTGCAGGGCTGCATGATGGCTCAGTACTGCTGTAGCGGCAGTGGCAGGTTGTTCTGCCTGCAGTCACGACAAAACCATGGCAAAACTACAGTAAGCTGTGGCCTCGTTGCTGCTCCTCTCAACATCTTGATACCTCGTCGTCATCGTCATGCCGGCGTGACTCATACTCGAGCACGTTGCGGAGTGGGACGGCTGGCGAGGGGCTCTCGAACATGGCAGCCATCATCACACCACGAGCGGCCTGAGAGAGAAAACAGACGGATGAAAATGTACGAATCCCCTTTTCTGCGATGGGGCTTACTCGGCCGGTCGATTCTTGCCCTTCAGGGTCATCCACTCCGGCAGCTGCTGCCGCTGCTGGTCTTCCCACCAGCAGCAGCCGCAGCAGCAGTAGCGGCAGCATGACGAGGCTCAGCGCTTGTAGGCGTGGAGCGCGGTGCCTCCGGTGCTGGCCTGCGGGGCTGAATGATGGCCTGCGGACCTGCATTGGCGTAGCGGGATGGCGAAAAGGACACCGAAATATAAAACGCAGGCGGCGATCGATGCCTGCACCGCACCCACAGACACGCCAATGAATGAGACACCTGGACGCAATCCCATGAGATGAGGTGTGTATTTCTTTGTGTGTGCACCAGCAGCGTCCTCCGTCCTCTGATCTGCTCTGCCGTCGGCCTTGTCCGTTGACCCCTGATTGCCCCCATCGCTGCCTCCCCCGTGCGACCGCCCTCTCTTATTGCTGCCGAGACTCAGGTGCTGCACCGTTGAAGGCTGGGAGGGAAGGGGAGGGGTGGCGGTGTACTCGTAGCGATCGTCCTGCGGCGGGTACACGTAGGGCAGCAGCTCCAGGCGGGGTCTGATGGCCGCGGGGCTCTCCAGCCATGGCCCCGCCCACATCGAGATGAGGGTGTTTGGCGGCTTGACCATAAAGAGGCCCAGGCCGCCAATCTGAACCAAGATGGACATGGTTTGGTGTGGTGTGGGGGATGGTGGATGGGGTGTTTGCCTTTTCGTTGTGTGCGGTGATGAAGCTCATGTCTCTGTGACGATCCATGAGGCCCGCGAGCTGCTGCAGTTTTGAGCTAATCACACCCAGCTGCTGCACTCCAAATGACACAGACAGACAGACAGACAGACAGAGATCATGTGTCTGTGACGTGACCCTTCAGCTCCCTCGTGAGCACTGCCTGCGTATCTGACCTCTGTTGCTGTTGCGATGTCAGGATCCTCCTGCAGCTTGATCTTGAGCATCGAAAAACGCCGCTGCGCATGGCCCGGGAAGGCCCTCACGTACCTGCCCGGTCACGACATTCATGTGTGGTGTCTTCATCAGCCACCTGTGTCTCTGTCTCACTCACCGGGTGGCCATGTCGAGTGCGAAGAGGTCTCCCGCCTTGTCTCCCACACTAAACACCCTGCTGACATCCGGGCGCCGTGCCAGCTCCTCTGTGAAGGTCAGGACCTGCACAAAACAGATCAGGAGACATCGCATCGATGGACACACATGGGGGGACGAAGGAATGGCTGGCTGCACACATGGGGATGGGTCTCTCTGCATCTTATCTTGTTCACCCACCTTCCACGCGATGCCGTGTGGCTCCATCGGCACGCCCCTCCCCGTCCCTCTGTCCCTGGCGCTGTAGATGACGATGCCGTGCTCCTGCAGATAGTCTGCTAGCCACGGCACCGCCACCAGGCACTGCGCCACCCAGCCTGCCAGCCAGCACAACAGAAGACGCGTCACAGTGGCCACTTGTCCCTCCCTCCCTCCCTTCCTCCCCTCACCCTTGCCGCCGTTTGTTATGATGGCCACCCGGCCGCCCTCGTCCAGCACCTGATGGAAAACCGATATGGCCTCCTTGCCGTAGTTGGAGAGGGTGGCACTGACGGCGGCGATCTCCTCGGCGTCTGCCTGAGTCTTGGGGACCTGCCCCTTCAGCCAGCGCAGGAAGGCGCGGTGGCCCTTGATCCACGTCGTCGGGAACAATGTGTCGTCCCTGACACGCACAACATGGAGACCTGAGCACGGACGCCACCTGACTGCACTTTTTCACCAGTCAACATGCCAGTCAAAAATGAAGAAAATCCCCTCGGACCTTCCTGTGCGGCGCGCGAGCTGTTGCAATTGGGGCCGCTGGTGGGAGAGCTCAAACGGCCTCTGCAGCAGGCCTCCCGAGTCGCGGTGGTGCTCCTGGCAGGCTCTGGGGGCTCTGGGTGGCCGCTTCCCCCCTGATCAGCTATGCATAATTCTGAATTGGGGCCCGACTCTTGGCCCGAGTTGTCGGAGTCGTCGATCCCCGGCGGCGGTGCCATCGATCCGTCAGCGGGGGCTGTGCGTGGCCTTCTCACAGGCACAATCAATTGGTGGCCGGTGGAAGAAGGTCCTTGGATATTGCGAGCTTGGATCGGAAGCGAGCTCGCAGAGGGGAAAGAGAAAAAGAGGAATAAAATCTGCGTCGTTTGCCTCACACCGCATCGGTTGACGTCCACGCGCGCATAAACGAGTGTAAGAAGGAAATGACCGTTGATGCATGTATCTGCGTACACGTGTGTGCGTGCCCGTGTGTGTGTCCGTCAGGCGCAGCGTATCTTTGCTTATCGGCGCTGGCCGCCCCTCATTTGTCGTACACCGATTGCCTGCCTGCGTGGGTGAGTGCGCCCTGGTTGGTGCGCGTTGCGGTGTGTTGGTGTTGTGTTGACAACCGGCGCGATGTCGAAGAAGTTGCAGAGTGAGATAGAGCGCGTGTTGCGGGACATCAAGGTGCACGTGGAGCAGTATGACGAGAAGTTTGACGAGCTGCGGCAGTTCAACAGGGAGCGCTTCATCAACTGCGACAAAATGAAAGACGAAGCCAAGAAGGAGGTGAGGGGTCACCTCACACGTGGCACACACACATACACACACAGACACACGCAAGGGCATAAGGCAGGCAGGCAGGCTGGCCGGTGGCAGACACAGGGAGGCATAGCGCGACTCGTACAGGCATCGCATTCGTGTGTTGTGTGCATCCCCCCGCTCACCATGTGTGTGCAGCAACTTCGCGGCAAGAAGCATGCGATTCGTACGACCACGCTTGAGCTGATGGACGTCAAGCACGTGTTGGACGGCCGTGGCCGCATTGAGGGCGAGCTCGAGAATCTGCTGCGGAAGCTGCACCGGCTGGGTCAGCAGGTCAAGGACTGGCTCAACCAAAACGATGTCAGGGACAAAGACTCACTCGAGCAGTGGAAGAAACAGGTAGGTACCTACATATATCGGCACATACACATACACACGCACATACACACACACACACCCTTCGGCATGTGGATGGAATGTGTGTGTGTGTCAGCTTGAGGTGCGCTACAAACGTGGCAAGATCTTCTATCGCAGCGGCGAGATCAGCGAGGTCGACATGTCTGGCGAGGGAGAGGTCACCGAGCACCAGAAGTGGATCGAGGACTACATCAGGAGGCTGGGCGACCAAAACGACCTCTTCGAAGCTGAAATCGAAGCCTCCAAGAAGAAGAAGGTCAGCCAAACCCAACACGCGCTCAATGCACAAACAGGCTGTGTGTGTGTGTGCAGAGTGCCGATTGTGAGCGTGTGGAGCAGTTGAAGGCCTTCACTGAGCTCCACCGCAGCCACATGCAGAAGCTGGAAGAACTGCTCAGGCGAATCCGAAACGGAGACCTCAGCTCAGACGTACGCAATCACATCGCCCACACACTCTCGCCCTAGCCACCGACCCACCTGTGTGTCTGTCTGTCTGTCTGTCTGTCTGGCAGAGCGAGATGGAGAAGTTGGGTGAGTTGCAGGAGGAGCTGCGGGACTATGTCGAGAATAACGACTCCCTCGACATCGTCGCCATGTGTGACGACCTCTACGCCGACCTCGGCCTCGAGGACATGCCATGCGACATGGACAAGGACGGCTCTGACACCGTCGGCGACCCCCTCACCGACGTCGGCACTCACGACGAGCCCATGCGCCTGTCGTCCATCGAGATCGACAACAATGAGGCCGCCTGGGAGGCTGGCGCTGAGCCCATGGCCGACCACCAGCCCCACCAGCAGCAGCAGCAACATGACGATGAGGGCGACAAGGCCGTCACTACTACTGCTGGCGAGCAGCGTCAGGCCAAGCGGCCGAAGAAGGGCGGCAAGGGGGCGTCCAAGGACAAGGGCGAGGCCACCAGCAGCACGAGCGCTGTTTCGCCGGCTGCTGTCACGCCCAAGGCCAGCCTCGCCGCCACTCTCCTGGGCAAGGCCGAGCGAATCGACCACAGAGATAAGGAGGCCAAGAGCGACTTGGACAGCAACGAGTCGCAGCCCTCCCAGTGGAAGCCCAAGGCGACTCCTGAGCACCCTGTCATCCTGCCCTCGCTCGCCCCAGCAGCGGCACAGCAGCCACCCGGCAGCAAGAGGAAGGGCGACAAGACAGACACCCACACCCACACCCACACGCACAGGAAGGCCTCCGGTGACAAGTCGGCCACCAAGCACCCCTCCAGCACCAAGCAGCCCCCCGAGGTCTTCTCTCCCTCGACCTTCCCTCTGCTCCCATCCGCCACCCCGCGCTCTTTCTCCTCCACACGAGGCGGGGAGGGCTTCGCCTCGTGGGTGTCGGCGGCCAAGCAGGCGAGCGGGGAGCGGTCTGAGGCGTCGAGCGTCGAGTGTGCCATGTCCAGCACGTCGAGCCTCTCGGGGCCGGGGCAGACAAGCGCGGCCGTTGCTGCCGCCGCCGCTGCTGCTGCTGCTGGGGGCGGTGGTGCCGAGAAGGTTGGGGGGAGGAGGGGAAGTTTCAATGACACTAAGAGGGCGTCGGACACGGTAAGACGACCAGCGAGGAAATAAGCCATGCACCATGAAGCGCGTCATTATTTCCTTGGTCTCCTGTTTGTGGTCAGGTCGGTTCGTCTGTGTCGTCTCAGCAGCACATGGCGGTCGATGAGCGCGAGACCCTTGTGTCGATGGGCTTCGCCAGCGATGCCGTCGACCGAGCCCTGATGATGCACGCGGGCAATTTTGACGACGCTCTCAACCACCTCATCCACACCAACCAGTCGCCCAAGATTCACGAACCACCCACCCCACCACAGTCACAGCCAAGCGCATCAGCGGCTGATGAGCCAGCCCCCATGGAGCCGCCCCCACAATCACTGCCCACAGAGCTCGCCGAGGCAGCTGAGTCACCAGATAAGGATGCTGGGGCGCCCAAGGCAGATGGTGACGGTGACGAGATCATGGAGAGGGAGAGCGAGAGGGCGAGTGAGGAGGAGGTGACGATAGGGGAGGACTGGAAGGCGGTGGGCGAGGGGCAGCTCTCCCTGTCCAAGGGCACAAGGCTACGCATCCAGGAGCGACACAGCTCCGGATGGACCTTCGGGCAGCTCGTCCGGCCAGACGGCTCTCTCGACGACCGGCCCGACTCGTCTGGCTGGTTCCCCGACTTCCTCACCCAGCCTCCCCCTCCCCCCTCTCCACCCCGGTTGAACCCACACCCCCACACCCACCCACCCCCACCCACCACAGACAACCAGAGAGCCGGTGGCCCACCCACTTCCAGCTCGCCCGTGTCCACGGCTGCTGCCGTGCCCATGGTCACGGCATCCTCCCTGCTGCAGCGCGGCCTGGTGCTGCAGGAGCGGGTGCACATCCCCAAGGTGCACCCGACGGACGAGGGCCGGTCGGCCGATGGATCGCCGGACGCCTCAGGGTCGGCCGCTGGTGTGAGGGGTGGGGGAGGAGAGGAGGGATCCGACTCGACCGACCTCGGCTCGGCCACCAGCACCGTCCGTAGCGTGTCGACGCTCACTTTGGGGCGGGGCGGCGGCGAGAGCGTGGATTTTGATGTGTGGCAGACGGTGAGTATCGAGTCGTCCAACGAGGGAGGAGAGGGCGTCGTGGTTGGGGAGGGCGGCACTGCTGCTGGTGCTGCTGCCAGTGGAGGTGGAGGTGGTGGTGGTGAAGGGGGTGTGTTGGAGGTGCGTGAGGTGTACTGGGACTGGGCGGGCGAGTACGGCGACACCGCCACGCAAAACCTGCACTTTTCCAAGGGCGAAAGGGTAAGTCTGTCTGACACACGCACAAGCCACCCACAGTACAGTGGGGGTAGCATTAGTTCTTATGCATGTGCTTGTGTGCTATCTATCAGGTTGAGATAATCGTTCGGCATCGCTCGGGCTGGACCCACGGCCGCATCGTAGGAGAGCCAGACCGGTGAGTGAGCGGTGACACGAAATATAACGACGGGTGCGTTGCTCTCACTGCTCCGTCCGCCGATGTGTGTGTGTGTGTGTGTGTGTGTCAGCATCGGTTGGTTCCCCGACTTCATGCTCACACCCATTGAGGATGTCGAACGCGAAATGAGAGATAAGAAGGTAACACCAGTGCACACAACAAACAAACAAACAAACACTGCCCCCCATCCCAACACGCCATCTCTCATCATTTCTTCATTCCCTCAGGGCGACGGTGCGAGTGACGTCGACCACGACGAGGCGCGCAAGGCAGCGTCGCCCCCCAAGCGGCTGTTTTTCCACCCACCAGACCCCCACCAGCCGACACACCACACAAACCCTCTCGGCCTCGGTCTCGGGGTGGGCGTTGCGCGCCACAATCACACACACGGCCACCGGCTTTCGTCCTTTACGCTGCCGCGGGGCGTCATGGAGCAGCCACAGGACAGCCCTGAGGGCCAAGGGGGGTCGGGGGGACCCACACCGCCCGGTGAGTAGTAGGTGGCATGACCGATGCACAGACAGACATGCAGGAGAGAGAGTGCATCCATGCGTTTGTCTTGTCTCGTGGGTGATGTGCAGGGTCGATGTGGTCCCTGGGCACCCCTCTGCTCACCCCCTTGACGACCAACGCCGGGGCCCTGACGGACAGGAGCCCAGCACCAGCAGCAGCAGGAGCAGGAGGGTCCCGTCTGCAGGCGCCCCCCTCCGGGACATCTTTGTTCCAGACGCAGCCCAGCCTCATTCGCGGCCATGTGGAGGGGACCGCCGGCCTGACCGCCTCATTGGATGCCGAACGGCACGACGGCAGCGAGCATCAATGGACACTCAGCCACTCACGGTCCTCTCTCAGGGTAAGCAAGGGAGGGAGGGAGGCGCCATTGCTGCATCTTCCATTCTTCTGCCCCGTTTGTTTGGTCAGTCTGGCGATGGTCCTGGGAGCGAGCGAGATCTCTCCCACCACCCTTCCCCCGGTGCACTGCGTCCGTCATCCTCGATTGCCATGGCGTTTGGGAGCGGCCGGCCTGCGGGCGTCCTCGTCATAAGTGGGAGGGGGGTTTGGTCGGAGCGGACAATGACGTTGCCGGGATGGTCCAGCGATAAGACCAAGTGAGAATGCGATGAAGGAGTGGATGGCACAATTGGATCGATGGATGCACTCACTGCACGAACACTGGATGGGGTTTCGTGTGCTGTGTTGTGCTGTGCTGTGTGCTGTCAGTGCGAAGATCCCGGATGAGAACCCGTGGCGCATCTCTGCGGTGAAGGAGCATGAGACGGACACCATGGATGGCACAAGCAACGCCTGACGGGGCCGCAATGCCTGCGCGCCTCTGCCTGCCTGCCTGAGACAGACAGTGACGTGACATTTGATGAACACCCCAACCCAATGTTTGCCGTGCATGCTCATGCATGCCTGTCAGTCAGCTATGCTCCGTCTCAGCCAAGTCAAGTCACGGAGGGGAGGGAGAGATTGAGGAGAAAGGGCTGGGCTGTGTGTGGCCCTCCCTCCTCTCCCTCCCTCCCTCCCGAGTGGCAGACAGAGACCGACCTGCTGGCTGGCTGTGTGGCTGCATCCATCCATCCATCCATGTGTGTGTCTGGGTGAGCGAACCGAACGAGGGATTGAGCGGATGTTCACTGGCCTTGTCTTGTGCATGTGGAGTAGGGATGGGATGGCGCGGGTGGGTGGGGGTGATTGATAGGTGGACCCAACAATGGCCTGCCTGCCTGCATTTTGACACTGACGTGATGCGCGTGAGGTGAGTGCAGTGCAGTGCACACAGGCGGAGGGAGGGAGGGAGGGTGAGGGAGTGGAGTGACCTCAAGAGTCATTTAAGGCCCAGACACCCACACATCTCCCTCGCTGGTCATTCATTCACCTACACCTACTGCCCTGCCACCCATCCCATCCGTCCATCTCGTGATTGATCTAGCTAGAGCGCCCCAGCAGCTCGCTTGATGCACATGGACACGCTGAGGCTCTCGCCACCGCCACCGGGCCGGCCAGCGCCCCACTGAATGTCGCTAACGCCCTCACTCTCCTCAACAGAGGAAGCAGCAGCGGCAGCTGTTGCTGTTGCCGCCGCCGGAGGTGACGGCTTCGTCACCTGAAATGATCAACGGATACGGTGTTTCTGCTCTGCTCTGTCCGTCTGTCCATTATTCCATGTGTCATTCACTTTGTGTGGGTGCTGTGGTGTGCTCACCAGTTGCACGACTCCCCTCGGGGCCACAGCCATCGGATTGTAAGGCACTTGAGCAGCTGTCACATCCAACGACACTGCGGACGGACACAAAGAAGAACAATGGCAAAACGCCACGAGGGCCCTGTGTGTGCCCCTCTCTCTCTCTCTCACCCACTCAACTCCACTCACCTCCTGTGTTGAGCGTGCCCTTGACCCGCACTTGTGTGGGCATCTTGAGGGGCCGCCCACTGCCACGCACACCATCACCACACACACACGATGCTGCTGAGGAGGACGATGCGGAGGGCATAGCAGGGGCCGCCAGGATGTCCGGCGGCGTGGCGATCCATGTGGCCGTCGCCAGCCGACTCAGACCTACTGCAAAATGCGGCAGGCTGCCCTCTGTCGATGTGCTGCAGGCAGGCAGGCAGGCAGTAAGCGCATGTGAGGGTCTGTCTGTGTCTCTGCGTATACAGCACAGCGGCAGAGCGATTGACACACCCACCGGTAGTATAGTGTGGCTTTCTTGACGAGGTGTCTGAGTGCCTCCCACGGCAGCTTGGCCATCACACCCAACACACACAACTCTGACAGACAGACAGACAGACAGACACATATGAGACATGACATGAACGAACGACACACACCTACAATAAGTATTCACGCAGCTAGCTGCATACATACCTGCAATGTGCAGGAACTTCCTGAGGCGGTGCACCTGCTGGTCCAAACCCTGGGATGCATCCACATACCAATTCTACAGACACACACACACACACACAACATTGTCCACACGCGCATTCATTCATTGTCTCTCTCTCATAGTCTCCTTGTTCGTTACGATGTCGCTTTGTGCGGATGGGTCTGTTTTGAGTACGATCTGTGTGAGCGCCCGGCGCACGCTGTCCAGCCCCATCTCTGCCATCACCAGCGCCACGTGGCGCTGACACACACACACACACACGGGAACACACACGGGAACACGCGAGACACATCGAGTGCCATCCATTCACTGGTCTGTTCTTGGTCGGCTAATGCCTACATACCGGGTCCTCTAGAGCGGCCCTTTGGTCCTGCCACTGCTTCTGCAAGGTGCTGATCTCCTGACCAGCCTGACTAATGTAATGGACCAACCAAGCAGCCAGCCAGCCAGCCAATCGACCGACAAATGGGGCCACAGCAGGAGAAAGAAGAAACAGTGTATGTGGATGCATCAGGCCTTACTGACCGCTACGGTCCCATAGTGCGCTAGCTGATAGATGCGGACGGCCTGCATCCAATCCAGTCCATCCGACAGACAGACAGACACATGCACTGCACTCATCCCGTTCGTTCCCTGTGGCCCTTTCTCGTCTGTCTGTCTGTCAGCTGACCGTTTCGATCATCCGTGCCATCTTGGTGGGGTTGTCCCGCCTCACGTGCGGCAGCAATGGACGCTCACACACACCGCCACCTGCACCACCACTGCCCCCTGACTTGCTCAGACGACGGACACGGCCGCCCCCTTGCCATTGGGATGCCCCCGGTGGTGTGGGTGTGGGTGTGGGTGTGGGTGTTGGGAGTCTTGCGCGCTGGTCGATTTCGTTGAGGATGGCGCGCAGGGCCTCCTGCACGTCGGCCAGGTTGTACCCACCTGCATCCATCGACAGATGCATAATCAACACACAAGCCAATAAGGGAATGCGTGCATTCTCAGCAAGAGAGAGAGAGACAGACAAACTCTCCCTCTACTTACGCTTGAGGAAGAGCCACAGCCGCTCGATGAAGTCCCGCCCCTCACTCTGACACATGCACACACATGACAGACACCCAACAAACACGCAGGCCTTCATTCATTCATCTCTTCCCTCTTTCTTCTCTTTGTGACCATTCCGCTCACCGTGGTCCATCCCGATCTGAGTGTGGCGTAGAGCGATGTGGGTGGGGGATGGGCGCCGTTCTTGTGACCCACACCCACAGGCGCCCTCTCAGCGGGCGATGGCGTGTGTGGCTCCCGGGGCGCCGCCCGTGTGATGGAGTCGAGCCGCGACGCCGCCGCATCCATGGCCGTCAGATGGCCCTGCTCCTGGGATAGAAACGCCTGAACACCAACACACGGCAGGAAAGTGCTGGGTTGGGGTGTGTGGTTGTCTGTCACGTGTTTCCTGTCACCTTGACATAGTTGCAGAGTTCCATTTTCCTGCACCACTTGAGGTCTGTGGTGGGGTCCGCGGCCGTGAAGTCCTCGGCCGTCAGGTCGGTGCCCGTCGCCACACTTGCAAAGTCCTCCAGACCCTCCTCGCTGTCTACGCCGCCAACGCGACTTGACAACCCCTGGTCCTTCCTGAAGGTACGTGGTGACGGGACGGTAGGTGGTGTGTGTGTGTGGTGGGGTTGGGTTTGTCTGTTTACACGTGTAGGCACTTGTCGATGGATTGGAATGCGGCCTCCTCGTCGGCGCCATAGCTCTCGAGCACCATCATCGACTGCAGCAGCTCGCCCACCACCAGCAACTCGTCTACGTGACCCTTCAAATACCCACCTGCATTGCAGGACACACACATGATGCAATCAATGCACACAACCCAGCCCCGTCTCTCCCCCTCTGTCTGTCGACAGCTCACTCACCTTCCTCAAACCCCGCTTTGAGTATGATGACCGCATCAGTGTCCATTGGGGGCGGTGCTGGGGGCAGCAGGGATGGCAGAAGGGCTGACGGGGCCACACCACCGCCACCACCACCCCCTGTGACGGTCCAGAAGAGCTGCAGACAGATGAACGGCCCCCCGCACAGCCGATACGAGTCCAGGGAGGCCCGAGGGCTCATCGGAGGACCCAACTGACACAGCATGAGAGAGAGGGGGTGTGATAGCTTGACGGATGGATGGATGGATGTGTGGGTGTACCGTACCTCGAGCATTTTGGAGCTGAGGTCGAATCTTGCGATGACGGAAACAGGACCCTGTGGGCAGGGAGCGAACCAGCATACAGTAAATAATGTGACCGACATGTACACAGACAAGAGGATCAGACCAACACGTGTCTGTCGTGTCGATCAGATGCAGACCTGAAACGCCGGCATAGGAGGCAGCAGGCCGTCCAGTGGCGCCGTGACGGTCTCGCCTACAAGGAAGGCACAGACGCACACAAAGGCAATGCTCAGCTCACGACGTCGCGTCGCCTTCGTTCGTTCCTCCCTCTCTCCCTTTTATATACAGTACATGCATTGCATACCCGCAGATCCGAGTGATGCAAACGCGTAAGTTTCGTCAAACAGCTGGCCCTCCTCACCCCCAGCACCACCCCTATTGCCAATCCCCCAATACAGCGTCTGCCACCTGCCGCCCCCCTCCCTCGCCACATAAAACAGCACGGGCGCGCCCACCACATACGGCTCTCCTCCTCCTCCCCCCTGTGTGCTGCTGTCCTGGAGCATGGCCATCACCACCTGCTGGCTCTCGCCCATCGACATGGGCGTGAGGGCGTCTTCGCGGATGGCCGTGTCGAATTCTGAGTGGTCGGGGGTGTCCTTGTGGGCGTGGTGTGGATGCGTGTGTTTGCTGGTGCCCCTGACGAGGGTGGCGCCCTGCGCGCGGTGGCCGCACTGGAGCACTTGGGAGTTGTGGTCGCCCTCCAGATACAAAGGCTGCACAACAGATCAAACATCAAACATCACAAACAACACACACAAGATGCATGAGCGAATGAATAAGGGAATCGATGTCCATCCACCCACCCATCCAATTCTTGCCTGCAGGGCGTTCTGCAGGTGATCTCCCTTGCCTTCCACCTCCTTCTCGTCCGTGCCATCCACACGCGGCGCCCGCGACACGAGGACGAACCCGTCGGTGAAGTGCTCACACAGGGGGTGGTAGGGCGACCGATGCTTGCTGCCGTCCCCCTTCCCGCCCAGCCGCCACACCACATACGAACCCACTACCTGGCCGGGAGCCCCCGATGAAGGCAGATCTTTGTCCGGGGAGATGCCTCGCCACGTTTGGCCAAGACAACACAGCAGATCCTCCATTCTCCTCCCTCTTTCCCCCTCGTTGGATTCCGTTTACGGATGGCCAGAGGAAAAAATAGGGGGCACCGGTACTCCCATCGCTACGGCGACACATAAGGACAGGTGGGAACGATGACAAGGCATCTGCAGTGATGCAATGCCAGACCCTCTCCTCTGCGGATTCCGTTTCCGTACGGCTCATTAAGGATCCCCATTAGTCATGCCGACAGAGTATTTGGTTGTGCAGTGCTATAGCTGCGGGATGCACCAGTGCATTCAGGTGACGGATGCATCCATCAAAAAGAGTGCAGACATCTGTGTACGTCTGCATCTGTGCGTACGTGTTTGCCATACTCAGGCGGTGAAGAGTAGGAAGTTCAGTTGCAAGATCTGCCACGAGAAGCAGAGCATTCAGAAGGTATCTACAGCCGATATATAAGACCATCACACTGAGTCTCCTCCTTCCCGCCTCCCTGCCTCTCTCATTTTGCTGCATGCGTGGTGCATCTGTCTGTTTTTGGTGGTGCCCTGCAGGTGCTCGACTCGTCCACCAACCCGGCCGACCTCCGGCCCGTCATCCAGCAGCTCAACTCGCACCTAGGGCAGATACACCAGCAGATGAGGGAGGAGAGAAATCGCCAAATCGACGAGTACCAGCGGCCGTCAGACATGATGATGGGGGTGCAGCCGGCGGCTGCCAGCGAGCCAGCAGCAGCAGCCCCAAACGCGCCCCTCCTCCTGGCGGGATCTGCCGGTGCATCTGCATCATCTCGCTGGGCCCAGTATCTTGATGAAGACCAGGCGGCGCAACCCCCTCCCCCACCGCCCCCCTCCCCGCCTCTGTCGCCAATCGGGCAGCGCAACTACAGGGGCAGAGGCAGGGGGCGTGGGAGGGGCAGGGGCGCAGGCTACCGCCGCAAACAGGATGGAGTGGATGGCCATGACGATGACCTGCAGCCATACAAGAGGGTCAAGAGGAGCGGCGGCGATAATGCCGACGATTTTGAGTCGTTCTTGGCGGCCGGTGGGGATGGGATGGACATCGGAGGGGGTGAAAGGGAGGCTGCTGGTTCATGGAGGGGATTTGGCGGCAATGGCGGGTTTGGCCCGCAGGGCAGCGCTGCGCCGGGTCCCCAATATGGGAATAGCGACGCTGCAGGGGCTGGGCCCAATGCAGGGAGCAGGTACATGAAGGGACATGTGCGCGTGACGGTTTCCTCTTTCCTGCTCCTTGTGTGTGCATTGCGTATCCAGGTGGGGCCGCTTCCTGTGAGAGATATCTAAGATACACACGAGGGAGGGTGCCCGATGCTCGATTCAGTGCATGCCATGGGTCAGACGTCGTTGTATCAGAATTCAGAATTCATTCATGCTGCGTTGCGTGGCTGTGACGATCTACATGGTGACGATGTGTGACGTGTTTTCGTGAATATCATTTGTGAACGTGGCAACGCCATTCGAGCACCACAACAATACAAACGGGTCCAATAGGTCCATTGATTGATAGCTTCACACAACCAACGCATCGATCCAAGCATGCTTCGTCTGCCCAGTGTCAGTCATGCAACAGATGCAGCCCTCGCGTGCAGGTCCACCCGACAATCCACTCGCCAAATCGTCAAGCAAACCTGCGCACAGGCGGCTCGGCTGCACGACAATCTGGGCAGAGGAAGGCTGCGAACACACCAGTTGAGTTGGACCCGACAGGGTGTTTTACAGTCAGTCAGCCAGGAAGGCAAGCAGACAGGCAGCCAAGCCACTCAACTCATCCATCCAGCCGTTCACGGGACACCATGAGATCAGCGCCCTTTTGCAGGCACACCGAAGTGCTGCACGGCACGCAGTCAGCGTCTAGACACCATCCATCCGCATCTGGCTCTCTCTCTCTCTCTCTCTCTCTGCACGTACATCCATGCCTCGCACCACACACAGGGTCTTACTAAACACCATGACAAAGAGCCCAACACGTGTTATAACACTTTATGTTTGTATGCAGAAACGGCATCCCATCCACCCACCCACCCGTCCATCCATCCATCCATGAGTGACACACATGAATGGAATGGGTGTCTCATTGACAGCCACACCACAGCAGCCACGAAAGGATGGATCCATGGACATGCACCCACGCACCTCACGGTCGATCTATCTAAATATTCAGATGATCTCTCTCAGTGGGCGTGCGGTGCGCGAAAAAGGAGGGCCTCTCAGGCGTGGCCAGCAAAGCAGCGTCATCTCACTTGGCACTGCACTTGACAATTGGCACACCAGAAAATACCAGCCGTCATGTGTACGTATCGACACAGCTACACAAAATGGTGGATGTACGTTATGTGATCATGCAGACAGGAAGTATGCAAGAGTGAGTGATATTTGATAGATCTGATCGGCAGGAGCGAGGCGTACTACACCGTTCGTTCTGTCGTATATATGTGTGTGTTCTGACTTGACTGTCTGTGTGTAGAAGAATAGCAGAAAACCAGACGACGAAAAAAGAGACAGCACAAGTGATCCGATCCCCGCCTTGTTTACACAGGTAGGCGTGCAGATGGACAGCCTCTCTCACCCCGCGCTCTGCCCCTTCTCTCTCTCGTGAAAGACATCCAATCAAGACAGACAGACAGACAGCCCGACGGCTCTCAACCACTTTAGAAAGAAAAATGGAGTATCCTGCCCTCCGCCACGTTGTAGATCTCATGCATGAGATGTGGAGTGGTGACCACCCGCACCCCCGCAATTGTCTCCTCCTCCTTGGTGTCGCCCATCTGGAAGAACGTCACATTGCGCGAGGCCAGGTGGTCGAGCGACGGCTGCAAGTCGCCCAGGAGGAAGGGGAGTTGGTCCTCAGGCGTGCTGGTCAGCAGGGGCCCGCAGCCGTCAGGTGAGTTGCACCACACCACCACCTTGATCCCACTGTCAGCCTGAAAGACACGAATGAGACAAGGGGACACACACACACACAGAAAGACAGACACCCGTACATTGTCATGTTAGCACCCCTCTACCCACTATGTACCTACCAGCCGGCGCGCCACTTGAATGCCTTTGCCGACGCCTCCCTCACTCAGCTGCACCGCCGCGCCGTCGGCCTTGTTCTTCATCGTCTCCTTCATGCGATGACTCTCTGCCAAGGCAAATGAGCCCACCACCAGACTTGCCACAGCCAACAGAGCAATGAGGCCGATAATCATGTCGCGTTTGGGCGATGGAGGGGTGCTGGGCGGCTGCGTGTAGTCGCCCCTGAGGCCCTCTGCCGAACCCTCGCTGGCGAGTCTGGTCCTTTTGAGAGAAGTGTCGGTGGAGATGGCCTGGGAGGTGAGCACGTCGACTTGCACGTTTCCGGGCCTCATGGTGAATGTGGTAGATGAGGGAGCAGCAGCGGTTTCGGACCGAGAATTGCGAGCTGCAACGGCAAGAAGCGAAGAAAGGCCGCGATGTTGAGGCCTTTGCTGTGCCAGTTGGCGTCCAGCTGTCGGTGTTTGTATGTGCAGCAGCGTTCGCTCTTCAGCCTCTCCCCACATGTGCGTTTCTCATCCATGCCTGAGTTCGCAAAGCCGCCCACACGGCTCGACGCCCTGCTGCCCGTGTGCCTCAAGGCAGGTAGGTGCTTACGTGCGCACCATCAGAGCCCTGACCGCACCGAGGGAGGGGGATTGATGAATGCATCTCCGCACCTCGCGCCTCTGCTGTTTTGCAATGTATGTGCGGTGTGGTGTGGTGTGTGTGTGTTGATGCAGATGGCAACATGACGGCTCGTTTGTATCCTGACTGGGACGCTCGCCTGGGCACCCCCACGATAGAGCTGGCCCTCATCAGCGCAGAGCCGCCCGAGTTGGCTCCCCCCTCCAACACGCAGTCGCAGGCAGGAGGCGAGCAGGAGGGCATGCAAGGCTCGGTGGCCACCACATGCGCCTTCATGAGGCCTGCGTTCAAGATACGGGTACGCAGCCGGGGTTGCCACGGGGGCGGTGCATCTCTGTGACTGGAGGCGCATCAATCCAGCCTGTGCTTGTTGTGTGGTCTGGTGTGGTGGGTGCGTCCATCTGTCCATGTGTCCCTGTTTCAGTTGGATGGTCCGATGGTAGCGCGTTTGTTGGCGGTGGACGGTTGGGGCGTGAGCAAGCAGACGGTCAAGGACAAGGAGTCGGAGCTCATGTACGGCGTGCGGCAGGGGTGTGTGTACCTCAAGATGAAGGAGCGCAAGATGGGCAATCCCGGCTGGGGGGGCAGGGGCGGCGGATACGGCTATAGGAGCGGAGGGGGCGGTGGTGGGGGTGGGGACAAGGAGGGCGAGTCGCTGGCGACGCGGCTGGCGCCTGGCGAGGCGGTGGTGCTGCGCCGCATGCTCAAGTTTGCCCTCCCCAACATGCTCGGATGGACCACTGAAAACACCAAATACCAAGGTACACACACATTCACACACTTCCGTTGTTGCCTTGTGAATATCGCGTGCGGTTTTCTGTGTGTCAATGTGCTGGGCAGCTGGCTGGAAGGCCGCCCAGACCACCTAAGTAGCACCGAATGACCGACCTTGACACACAGGACATCACGATAGCGGCCAAGATGGATATGCATGGAGGTAGCCCGCTTTAACAGAGTACACGTACAAAGAGAGACGAATTGATCCATCGATCCATGGATGGATGGATGGATGGATGGATGGATGGACAGACAGACAGACAGGCAGGCGAACACCCTGCGTGGGTGTGTCCGTAGCATTGAATGCATTGTGTGCATGTATCAACGTTCTTGCATCGCCGTATGAGGGATGGATGGAGAGAGAGAGAGAGAGAGAGTTAGGGGTGTACATACACATATACAGAGAGGGGCTGATAAAACACACATACATACAGGTATGTAAGGTAGATGTGCGTGTGCAAATAATGGGGTCAGTGCACACAGGGACACGCAAGACGAACCTCGTGTGTGTGGACAGAGGTGTTTGTGTACAGAGTCGCGCTCTTGTCCGATTGCATCAATTCATGACACTCCACGCGGTCTTCCGACGAGAATTCTCGATTTGAGAGATTTGAGACGGCGAGACGGCTTGAATGATTTTCTCTTGACAGATTCTATCGTTTTCGAACCAGCGACTTCGACTGGCGCTGCGGGTGTTCACACACCCTCCCGTACAGGCAGACGTCGCCTGCGTCGGTGTCCCCATCGCCGCCTCATCATCGCTGCCCTTCCCGCCAGCAAAGACGAGAGGATCATGTGCCGTTGCTTTGGCGGGGCACTCTTCATTCGAATGGTGCAGGGCCCAGACATCCAGCTACCCGGCCGCAGCGGGTGTTTGGGCCATCTGTCGCCACCGTTGGACACCGTGCAGCTGACGACACTGCAGCCCGATTGAGAGTGGACTACTCCCCAGACGAGGAGTGGACAGGCATGGGCAATCAGTTGCGGTGAGGTCACCCGCCTCCAGCAAAAGCTGTATGACGCCCTGCAGTGGACCGCTGGGCAGTGGACCGCATAGTCTCTGAGGGGTTGGGAGCGGGAATTGGCGACGATGACCGACAGACGCACCCGCCACCTTCATGGGCATGACCAAGCAGGAACTTCTCGAGAAGTTCTCAAAGGCCAGGGTACGCAGCACACACAAACACACACACACACAAGCACACACCTTTTCTCCCAGGTCTGTGTGTGTGGTGTGGTCCGTCAGTCGCTGGCAGACGCCCTTCCTGACGACGAGGACGTGAAGAACCTCAAGGATTCCCAGATCTGGCGCACCTACGCCTTGGCCAGTGACGTGAGCGGCAGCTGCGTGCTGGGCGAGGGCGTCCTTGCCCGAGTAACGACTACGCCGAGGCGTAAGGTCAAAAAGATATGCGGATGTGTGGATGTGTGGATGTGTGTTACAGGGCTGGATGAGATATACCCGTGGCTGTCACCCGTCACCCAGGTACATGGCACGACCGACTGCAGCATGCAGGCGCTTCTGCCTCCCCTTCGTGTGCAGTGAGAGAGAGAGGTTCTGACCTGCGCCACCAATGAGGAGACAGGCCAGCCCAGTGAGGCAGAATGCCAAGTGGGCAGCCAGAAGGCCCTGGAGGGTGTGTTGCAGCCGGAGGTGAACAATCGTGTGGAGAGGGTGGGAAAGCGGTCGGTAGCGGTCGGTCGATGGACAGGCTGCCTTTGAGCTGCCGCCTGAGCGGCTGACTGGAGGTGTGAACATGTTCTTGGGCGTATGCGGTCGTGATGCCGCGGGTCTGGTGCTTCAGGATGATGGCGAAGAATCTGGATCGGAGGTGGAGGTGGAGCTGGAGGTGCACGCCACGGGGTTTGAAAATATAGATGGCGTAGTTGAGGCTGTCTTCCTACAGCAACCCGGCCGCTGAGCGTGTGTGTGTGTGTGTGTGTGCAGTGGCGAGCACCCTGTTTGAGATCGTGTTGCGTCGCGTGCGCGAGGAGGTTGTCGATGGCGACGTGTCAGAGGAAACCAGGATGCGCCAGAGGGCTATCGCAAAGGTACGCACCCCCACATCTACAGCCACACACACACACACACAGCCCCTCCCTCTCCCCACCATGTGCCAAAACCCATGATGGATGTGCGCGTGTGTAGGAGTTTGGTGTGTGTGTGTCGTCGTGCGGCCATGTGTCGGGTCACCTGGGTGGCTCGATGGACGACGATGACGACCAGGAGGACCCTGACACACGACTCAGAGGTGGGTCAGTCAGATCGGGCATGGCACGGTGGTGGACTGTCTGTCTGTCCTCTCTCCTTCGTATGAGTGCATTGCTTCCCTCCCTCCCTCCCTCCCTCCCTCCCTCTCTCCCATTTCTGTACGTACATCCTTTCTGCAGCAGGTCGCATGTTGGAGATGGCCTTCAAACACCTGAGCCAGCTCATCAACGACGAGGGGCGCCCGGAAGGTGAGGGGCCGGCCGGCCGGGTGTGTGGGGGACGCTCACACGCACCATGCCTGCCTGCGTCTGGTTTGCCCAGAGTTGCGTTGGGAGGTCCTCGAGAGCTGCGTGCCGGCCGCCCTGAGCCCCTCTGTTCACAATGGGGAGTGGCACCGCGACCATCAGGTGAGCTGAGCGAGAGCGACAGACGGCACCATCCGCCGCCCGTATGTGTGTGATCTCTCCCTCCCCTTTTGTCTCTCTGCTTGAGCGTCAGAACGCGGCGCTTGCCCGCGGTGCGGTGGGGGAGATGATGGACCTGGCCGCTGACGCCTGTGATGCCACTGTAGCGAAAGAGGTGAGCTGTGCATTGCACCACACACACGTGCACACCAGGGTTGTGGGTGGTGTGTGTAACCCAGGTTACACACACCACACTTAGTGTGTGTGTGCAGGACCCTGGCGCGCCCGAGATGACCCCCGTGTCGCTCATCGCCCTCCATGCCCTCAGAAAACTCGAACGTTAGACAACAACAAGTGTGTTGACAGATTTGTTGATGCCCTTGTCTTGTCTTGTTTTGTGTTTTGTGTGCGCAGCGGCTGTTGTGTTCCACATCGTGGGTCCTCTGGTGGCTCAACAAATCAGCAGTGAGGATCCCGCAGCCGTCAAGGCCATACACATAGAGGTCAGCCAGCCAGTCAGTCGACCAAACTAACAAAAGGGGCTGGACGACCGAGGGAATACTCATTCTCTCATTCTCATTGCTGTCTGTGTGTCTGTGTGTGCAGATGGCGGCTGCATACCTCACACGCGCCGACGACTTCGACAGCAACGACCAAGCGGCCTGTCGCGATGTACGCTCACACACACATCACATCAGACCACACCACATCACATCCAGCCTGGCCGCCTTCAGCAGATGTCCAGCAAGATCCGTCGAGTGGCCTTTGCTCGCGACCGAGCGGGCGTGTCCACTCGCGCCAAGGCCCTCATCCACCTCACCTCGTCAATCGCCAAGCTCCCCCACTACGTACACTCAACACCACACACACACACACACACCATACCACACACACGTGAGATCTCTCCCTCTGTCTGTGCTGTGTGTATGGGTGTGCAGATGCAGCAGGTCGAGAGCCGCAACCTCTTGGCCGCGTGTGTCAAGGAGGCCGAGGCACTCGCCATGGACCGCGCTGTGCTGCTGACGTGCATCAAGGACGTCGTCATGCGGCTGGGTCCGCGGCCGTCGCCGATAAACTCGCCGTCAGACGAGCTCGACGGCGGGAAGGAGCTCCGGCAGAGCCTCCCGGGGGTCGTCAGCGAGTGCATGCGGCACCTGGGCAAACAGAGACCTGTCGGCGACAAGGCCCTGAAGACTCAGGTACACACACACACACACACACAGAGAGAGAGAGAGAGAGAGACGGGTGTATGGCTGTGCGTGTGTGTGGAATTGGCAGCACACCGCCGTCGACATCATGACCGAGATCGTCGAGGTCAGCATACTACCACAGGACAGACAAGTAGTCTCGTGTGGTGTGTGATGTGCCACACGTGTGTATGTGTGTGTGTCTTTGTTTGTTTTGTTTGTCAGAAATGGCCTGCAGCTCTTGGGCGGGATGGCGTGACGGGCCAGCTCATCGACTACCTCCTCAACGTAGCACTGGTAACTGCACAGCACACACACACATCCATCCATCCATCCCATCGATCAGTTCAGACGGCTGAGGCTCTCTGTGTGTGTGTGTGTGTCTCAGAGTGTGGGTATTGACGTGTCCAAGTGGATGTGCGGGACGCGCCAGCTGTTCGAGAGCGAAAGAAAGAAAGAGACACACACACCGAACGGCGATTAACTGGCGTCTCTGATTGTGGCGCCACTCGGGAGCGGAGGTACCTATCGAATGTGCCTGAAAGTCCACTCAGCGTCCATGGCCCTTTGTCTCGCTGTCTGTGACTGTCTTTGTCTTTGTCTTTGTCTTTGTCTTTGTCGTTTAGCGCGGAAGCAGAGGCCCGAGAGGGCGGGGTCGGCCCGGGCGGCTGCCGCATTCGCCGCTGACGAGGAGGAGGGCGACAACGAGGCGGCGAATGCGACAGGTGACGAGGACTCCAGCCCAAGCAGCGGGCCGAAGGGAGGGAGACGCCCCAAGCTTCTCAGGATGCTGGATGACATCGACTTCCAGGGTATGCATCAATGCGGGAACGGATAAGCATGTCGAGCCTGTCTCTTTATTGCATGGTGTGCGAACAGACTACGATGTTGCTGTGTGGGATATCCCGAGAGGTGTTGATGTACGCTCAAGACACAGACACAAAGAGAGACCATTTAGATGGCTGCCATGTCTCTTGTTTGCATGTGTGTGTCTCCAGCGGCAAGTCAAGCGTGCGCTCCGAGGTTCTGCAGCCCAAGCCATTGCCAAGTGGCGAAAAATCGATGCGCTTGGCCTGCTGCTCGTCACGGTGAGGGGGGCAGGAGAGGAGAAGAAGAGAGCCGTGAGCCTCCTGCTCCGCCTGAACACCAAATATGTCCAGCGTAAGCACCACGTCACAGACATTCACGGCAACTGAATGTGGTGATGCCTCGTGTGTGTGTGTTTCAGATGAATGTAACAAAGACGACACCCAAGTTCAAAAATAACAAACTCGCCGAGCTGTGGGAGGGTAAACTAACACCAAATTACCTCCCTGCCGGCACCACTGTTGTCTTTGTTGTTTTGTCAAATGCAGACTATTACAATACCAAGAAGGAGTAGTGAACAAGGGCTTTGAATGACGTGCGTGGGCGTTTTTCCTTTTCGTGTGGATCCCGTCTCAACAGAAGACCAGGGGTCAGAGACACATAAGTCGAAACCACACCAATGAGGATTGCTCCTTGCTTCTCATTCGCTGTCGTGCGTGTCTCTGCAGACATCGATCGCCGCCTACATTTTATATCTCGGTGTCCTTTCCGCCCCCACACCGCGGCATTGCGTGTCCAGCGACGACACAGCTTCCCCAGCCAGTGTCACTTCATGCGGTACCTCAGGCGCAGGTGCCCAATACACAGGCGCAGGCGGAGGAGATCGCCCACCGTCAGCGCCGCTCTCGCCAGCTACGGCGTGGAGGCCATCTCGGTCTTCGACAGGCTGCTGGACGAGGGCGGCCAGGTGACTATCATGACAAACGGCGAGGGCGAGACACTTCTTTAGAGAGACACGTGGCCAGTGTGGCGTATACGGTGGTGTCGTGTCTTCGGTTGTGCTGGATTGCTCACAGCCGTCCTCAGTCGCAACCGACGTCTCCAGGCGGCTCAGATTTCCCAGGGCGGCCAGGTTCTGCGTTGAGGACGCAAATGGCTTCTTCCCCAACCCCTCCCCTGCCCCCTGCCCGATGTGATGCCGGTCAACCTGTGTGCTTTCAACGTGGCGTTTCATGAAGACTATGAGGCGTTTGGTGCAAGACTATGAGAAGCTGCAGCCCGTCTTGGAGAGTCTTGTCTTTGCATGCCTGCCCCACCCGACCCCGCCCGCATCACCGCACACCAGCGCGACATCCACAACTGCATCGTGCAGCTGATCGAGACGGGCAACGATGCAGCAGCGGCCAGCGAGGCAGTGCGCCTCATCCGCAACAACCGGCACATTCCGCTGGCCGGAAAGAATCTGTTCCGTCGGCTGGCTGCCTATGCGCGCCGCCTGTCGTCTGAGCAGAAGCTGCGCATCGTCACGGCCATCCTCGCCCATCAGGCCGCGCTCGCCAACGAGATCGACGAGCACCCACACCAAAGCGGCCAGGTGGCGATCCACCACTTCAGCCAGTACCCGTCCTATTCGACGGGCATCAGGTGGAGCTTCTGCGCTTGCTGGTGGCCAAGGGAGGGGCAGGCATCGTCAGCCTGCGGGACGACAACGACCGCCTGCCGCTGCACCACAACGAGGTGGCTGTGCGAGAACGGGGCGGCGGCAGACATCAACAGCCCCAACGGCGGCCTCACCCCTCTCCGGCTCGACGCCAACAAGAACGACCCGGCCTGGGGAAGCCTGCTCACCGCCGTCTGACGCTGCTGGAGATGGGGGCATCGGTTGCTGCGGCGGATGTGCGGCCACTGCCAGTGCCGCATCGGGTGCTGTGGGAGGAGAAAATCCTGGGAGGAGAAGATCCTCGAGGCCTACCGCCACCATCTCGAGTGGGACCTCATCAAGCGCATCCTCGCCCAGTCAGCCTGTGTACCGTCGTGAATCGCGCCATTCGCGACGAGGCGCGGCGGTATGGGCTCACCCTCGGGCGCATCAGGGGGCAGAGCAGCGATGCGGCCAGCAACGGGGCTGGGTGGGACTGGAGGAGGCTGGGGTGGTCAAGGGAGGGGTGTTTCAGCCGCTTTATCTGAGTTGATGGCTGGGCTGGTCGGTGTGTGCGAGGGCGGGAGGGAGGGGACAGGGAGTTAGAAGTTTTCTCGAAGTCAGTCAGGGATGTTGGGTGTGATTTGGGCAGGTTTGGGCGAAGAGGCGATTGGTTGGTTGGCTTGCTGACGCATTTCATGTGTGTGGGCGGGGGCTGGGGGTGGTCAAGGGAAACGCCTTCAAGTCGCTAATTTGAGCTGATTGATGGCTGGGCGGGTCAGTGTGTGTGAGGGCGGGAGGGAGATATATCGCTACCTACATTTTATATATGGTGTCTCTTGCCTCCCATTTGACGTGGCAGCCAATTTCTCAGTCTGACCTGTTTTATCCGTTTTCTGTACGTGCAGGAGGGGGCGGACCTTGCAGGTTCTAATGCTCGTGTCTACATGATGTATTTCGCGACGATTAATGCCTTGGTGTGGGTGACCTCGAATGAGTGAGAGGGCGGGAGAGGCGAAGTGAGTGACCCACATATAATCGGCGGCGGGGGGCATGTGCATGTGGTGAGGATCGCTGCTTGCATTTTATACATATTGCGATGTCTGTTCCTCCATGTAAGGGCTCTTTAAGAATATTTGTGTATGATCGCATTCACCCGAGTCCATCCAATTCACTCGCGCCATCTTCGACAATCGATGAATTGAATGGCATGTTCGTCCTTCCGTATACACAATGCCGACACCGCACATCAATGCAGCAGACTCTCAAAGGCTGCCGGCTGTCTGTCTGTCTATCTGTCTGTCTGTCTGTCTGTCTACATAGCGGCAGGTCCGACGAGGACGACTTGTATCTTGGAGAGCTCCCTGGGTGGGAAGTCAACCCGCAGCGACAGCACCTGGTAGATCTCATCGGGACTCAACCGCCAACTTCGACCTGACGACGGACCTGATCGATGATCATGGAGGCAGGGAGGGACAAAAAGGACCACATTGGTGTGCGTGCGTGCGTGTGTGCGTGTGTGTCGGCTGGCTTATTTGCTCACTCCAGAGGTCTTCGAATTCGGCGAGCGTCTCCAGGTTGAGCAGGCTGCCCATCTCGCTCAACCGACCAAACTGAGACACAACCACACCCACCCACAGACGCAATCACGTGACACACATATGTGTGGTGCTGTGGCCCTGCGCAACCACCCCC